CCATATGTTTGCCCCAAGAGCAGGCTGAGTTGGGTGTGAAAACTGGACCTGTGGGTTTGGGGGTTTTGGTGGAAGGGCCAAGGAAGCCCCATATTCCTGTCTGCTGGGAGAGGGTCCACAGGTGACAGGGACTGCCTGGGCCTTGACTGCTTGTGTATGTGTGTGTGTGGGGGGGGGGTGTCTGTCTCTAGGCTGTAAAATGGGGGAGTACGCCTAGCTCCCAATGTTCCTCTGAAGCCCAAGGAATTCATTTCTGGGGGTCTGAGAAGATTCTGGAATTTGGACATTTGGGGATTCCAACATGCTCACATGATATGATTATACATATATAAAATCTTAGGTTCCAATGTATTATCATGATATATTTTAGGATTTCAATAATCTGGATCAGCAGCAGTTTGATATTTTAATGTTCTGGGCATTTGAGTATCTTACCATTAAAGGATTTCAACAACCCAGCATTCCAAAATCCTAACATTTTAACATCTAGGATTCCAACAACCCAGGAATCTGATATTCTACCATTTTAATGTTTTAGTATCCCAACAAGCTAAGATTCTAATGTTTAAACACTTAATCTTTTTTTTTTTTTTAAGTAAGCTTTATGCCCAATGTGGGACTCATGGCCCTGAGATCAGGAGTTGCATGTTCTACTGACAGCCAGCCTGGTGCCCCTGAACACTTTAATATCAGACGTGTTCAATTACCTAGCAGTTGTGTATTTGGACAATCTAGAATTCTAATATTCTAACATTTTTACAATCTAGAATTCCAACAACTGAGAAGCCCACTAACCTAACTTTTAACATTCTAGAATTCACACATTGAGTTCTACCTGAATCCCTCTTGCCAGGATTCCCAGCTTCCCGCCATGATGACCCTGGTATCCAAAACTAAGAATAGGGTGGGGTTGGGGAAGACCCGTTTTAATAGGCTGGAATCAGACCTGAGGGGGTGGGGACACTGTGATTAGGAGAGGGGACAGAGTCCCCAGAGCCTCTAGGGGATCCAAAGAGGAGCCAGCCCCTCTACATACAGCTCAGGCCTGGGGCGGGGGGCAGAGATTGGGCTCTGAGACCTCACTTGCCCTTGGCAGCTAGCGCAGGCACCCACACCCACACATGTCACCCGATAGCCATGGCCAGCTCAGCTTCAATTTCTACTGTTTCCACAAAATGGGAGGTAGGGGATGGGCTTGATTGGGGAGGTTCCCCATCTGCTGCCCCACCTGCCCCTTCCTCCCCACTTCTACATCTATCTGGCCTCTCCTTTACTCCCTGCTAGCTGCAGAAAACAACTACATGCAGGGACATGCAATTTGGGGAGGCCTTTGGAGCGAGCACCCCACCCCTGCTCAGGCCTCCCTCAAAGGCTTAGTGGGGTGAAGAGGCAACAGGGGACTAAATGCCCCATCCACACACCCCCAGTCACCCAAGGCTTAATGTTCCTTCTTCCCCTTCCCCTGTGCCAGGCTCCAGGCCACCCCTGCCATCGCCCCCCACCCCAGACCTCTCCCCAAGCTGGATGGGAAGAACCCTTCCCCTCACCTTCTGGTCCACGATGGAGCAAGCCAGCTGCTTCACATGGGCCAGCTCAGAGGCGGTGGGCAGCAGCACAAACTCGCGGGTCAGCCCGATCTGGATGTGGAAGGAGACCCCGGAGCTCGGAGCTGGTACCTGGGCCAGTAGCGGTGGCGGCGACTGCAACTCCAAGCCGCAGGGGGGCGGAGGGGACCCCGGCCCGGGAGAGCCTGGGAGCCCGGCGAGATGGGAGGGGGAGGCGGCCATAGGTGGGGGGAGTCCCGGGACCGGCCGCCCGGCGCCGGCCGCCCGGCGCCCACCCGGGATCCGGCTGAAGGAGCCCGAGCCCGGGAGCCCCGGGCCACTGGATTCGAGGGCGCTCGGAAGCTGGTGCTGGGAGCGCGGTAACCCCGGGGATACGAGAAAAGAAATCTAGCAGGTTGAGGGCACTTGCGGATGGCGGGACCCTGGGAAGTTAAAGAAATGTAATCTAGTGATCAGACACCCGGGAGTCATGAAGGAGAGATCTAATGGCTTGAGGGGATCCAGTTATTGAAAAAGTCCAAGAAATCAAGAAAATCTAGTAGGTCGGGATCTCAGGGATCAGGAGAGCTCAGGATCAAAAAGCCCCTTGGAGATAGAAAGGCTTGAAAAGGGAGCAGGGGGGATCCCAGAATCCACTGGCTCTAAGACGAGGATCCAATGAAGAAGGGGGCTCGAGGGATTCACCAGGCCTCGGGGGTGAGGATAGGAAGTCGGGGATCGAGTAGATCCCAAGGATCCGACGGGCCCGGGGATGGGCAAAGGGATCCCGAGGGCCGGGGTGCTAAGGAGGGAATCTCACGGGTCTCAGAAGTTGGAGAAAAGTTCGGTCGTGGGCCGCGGAGAAGGGGGCGTTACCGGCGGCGGTTGGGGGTGGGGAGGGAGGGTCGCCCGGCGCCGGGAGCCGGTGGCTCTTTTTCCCCCTCCAAAGTTTAACTCTGCGGCTGCGGCCCAGGAGGAAGTGTTGGGAGCGATGGCGCAGTGGGCCAATCCACGCGGGCCTCGGTGACGTCAGAGAGGGGCGGAGCCTGCCGGGGGGGGGGGCCGGGGGCGGAAGGGGAGGGCAGGCCCGGCACCTCCGAAGTGGGGGCGTCACCTGCCCCGCCCCGGGCCCAGGCGTCTCGGGTGCGAGACGCGGGGCAGGGATTCCGGACTGATGCCGACCCCCAACACACCCAAGTCTGGAAAGTTAACTCTTCCCTGAGCTAGAGAGGAGGGGCGAGCCACTCTCACCCCCATCAGCGGTCGGGGAGGCCGGGGCTGCGGAGGCGTCTGGCCCTTTAAGGAAGGGGGCCGTCTAGCCGGGCTTGCATCCGGCGCCCACCGCAGGGGAAAGGGTGGGAAACTGGTGTCGGGTCCAGCCCGCTCAGGGTTCTCTGGGCTCGGCCTACCTCTTCTCTGAGCGTTGTCCACCCCACCCCCATGCCCGCTCGGTGGAGGGGGTGCAGTAGAGATCCCGCAGCCCATTACACGGTTAGGAAGACAGCGGCTTCCAGATGGGCGGAAGGCAAGCCTCATGTCTGTCTCTGGCAACCCCAACCTCGATTAAGTGCATGGACTGGAGGGGCCTGGGCTGGGTTGTCTGAGCCGGGACAGTCAGACACGGGTGGAGAAGGGGTGTAGTTTCCTTCAATTGGCGCCCCACTCTGCCCCAGCCCTCAGGAGAGCCAAGAGCCTCAGACCCGGGGGTGCCTCAAAGGGCCATAGCAACCAGGGAAGACACCACACCCTCCCCACCCCCTAGATGAACTGGTTGTTCTGGGACAGCGTGCATGTGTCTGTGTGGCTTTAGGTAGGTGGCTTCCCCTCTCTGAGCCTGTTTCTCCATCAGCTCCTGACCCCAGGTCTTTGTGGGGAGATTGCAGAATGGTGCCTGGCACACAGCTGAGATTCAGTAGGTGGTGGCCATTGCTGTACTTTGCAGAGATAAAGGGGTGGGCTCCTCAAGCCCTCAGATGTTTAGTAGGAGTATGTTCGTTAATCAGTCATCCAGCAAGCATTGAATGCTGGCCTACTACGCGCCAGGCTTGTCCTAAAACAGCTCTTCCAGCCTGGTCGGGAACAATTCAGACTTGATTTCTCCTCCCCAGCTAATAATAAGAGTGGTTGCCATTTAGTTTACACTCAGGAAACTGAACCCCGAGGGGCAAAGTGACTCCTCCAAGTCATCCAAGATCACCACTCAAGTTGCTGCTACCACCCCACCCCCTTCACTGAGGGTTCAAAGCCTGGCTTTGAGTTCCAAAGGCATCCCAGGGGAGATGGTCCAGACCAGGAGGGCGGGATGGGGGCCTCAAGACAAGCCCCCCTTCCCCGTAAAGGGCTGCTGGGGGCAGCTGAGGTCGGTACAGTAGTGACTCTGCCACCACATCCGGGGGCTGGCTGGGGCTGGGGAAGGAAGTCTGAGGCTGGAGTGAAAACCCAAACCACCACCTGGGGAAGTTGCTCAGAGCCCAGAGGGATGAGGGGGGAGCGAGGCCACGTGGAACTCGTAGCTAGGTTTTGGTGTCACCTGATGGCCATCTGGCCACCTGCATCCTTCTTCAAGTGTTCCTGGGGTCCTGACAAGGGCTGGGTCCTATTCTGGGCACTGGGGCACGGCCTTTGTTAACCCAGAGGGTGGGCATTAGCGTCAGGCCTGTTGAGGATGCTGAGGCCCAGAGACATGCAGAGGGAGCCCATAGGACTGGATACAAATGCTGATGGTCCGCTGGAGGCCCTAAGCAGCACCCCCCGCCCCCCCGCCATTTCACTTTCTGTAACTTAACACTGATGATTCCCGCTTCCTAAGCTTGTTGTGAGGACCCAGTGAACTAGTATGTGAGGAATTTAGTGTGGGGTCTGGCTCCTGCTAAGTGTGTGACTGACCACTGCAATTCAACTGTCCTGGGGAAGGGAAGGGACTCATGGGGCCTCTACACAGTGAGGGACCAGGTGCCTCCACCACCTGCAACCTCGGGGCAGCTCCCAGCATAGCGGAGGCATTCTACAGGGCAGGTCCCAGGCTCTCCCTTCCCCACTCCATGTTGGCTGAGGCTCCTTGTAAGCCCAGGATCACGTGGGAAGGGAAGGGAAAGTGGGGGGGTTAAGTACTCAGGGCAAGCCCTTTAATCAGCCATCATGGGGGGGCCGCTGGGAGTGGAGGGGGAAGGTCAGAATCTGTCACATCACATCATCTGCTTGTCAGGACTCTGCCCCCAGGCCACTGCTGAGGCCCCTGGGGAGGGAGTACTTAGGAGGCACGGGGAGATTCGGTCCTGTGCCCCCATTTCCGGGCCTCCACCCACACTCCGCCCAAACTCTGGGCCCCTCTCTTCCCGCCCCCCACCCTACCACAAAACCCCAACCCATCATATCCCCTCTCTGAGCTCCACCCAGCCTAGGCAGAGCCCATTATTCGGCTCCCCAGGTCCCCTCGACAGTCAGCACCGCCACCCATCTTACTCCAAAGGGTTTATTGAGACAAGTTTCACATCCAAGTCCAGGGCAGAGGGGAGGGGGCTTATAAACAGGAACCTGGAAGGGGGCCTGAGGACTCAGGGCGGGACCCAAAAAAAGAGAGTGAAATAAATAGAGGAAGAGAGTGGAGGACCAGGAAAGGAGACACAGACTATCACACAGTGATAACGACATGGGGGGGGGGCAGGGCTCCATTAACATCCCATTTATTTATACAGATATACAGGGAGTTGTGGGGGACCCCCTCCAGCCTCCATGCCCCAGAGAGGGGCAAACGAGGGGCATCTCTCCCCATGGGTGACCCCGTGGGGGCTGGGGGGCTGCCCCTGGAAGGAGTGCTGAGAGCGGTGGGGGAGGTAGGGGTGGGCACCTCCCCTGAGGGCATCACCTGCTCCCCGGGGGGTTACTGGCCCTGGAGGTGCTGGGTAGTGTCTGGAAAGCTGTGTTGAGGGAACTGGAGGGGAGGGTGGTGGGAGTGCTTCTGGGGTGGGCCAGGCCGGGCACTCTGCCTGAGGACAGCCCGGGGTCCAGCTGGCTCCACAGCTTCCCAGGGGGTCAACCACAGAGCAGGGGCACCTGGAGCTCCTCCCAGCACAGCTGCCACTCAGGTTTGGGAAGATGGGAGAAGGGGGGTTGGGGGTTCAAAGAGAGAACCTGGCACCATCTGGCGTCTTGGAAAAGCTGATCCCCAAGGACACCCAGCCCCGGCTGTGCTGCACCCAAGAAGGCAGCTCAGAAAGCAGGACTGGGCGTCGGGGCACAGAGAGGAAGCTCCCCAAGGCCATCCCAGAGGGTGATTCCTGAAGGAGGCTGCTCCCCAGGCGGATGCTTGGGGAAGGGACGGCCATGGGGGATGGCCTCCTGGGGAAAGGGCCGTTAGCACCACCAGGTTCCCAGGCAGGCGGGAAGAGCCAGGCCTCCGGACCTCCAGACTGAGGCTGGGAGTCACCTGAGTAGACAGAAGGGAAGGAAGACTGGGGCATGACACCCCAGGTACAAGAGGGAAGGCTACCTCGGCCCCCTCTCTTGATGCCCAGGAGCTACCTTGATGATTCTCATAAGGTAACCCCGGCTACCAGGACGTGGCACCCTCTAGGAGTGCCAGGTAAAGAGATGTGTCTGAGGTCTCACTAGGGGTAAGGATGCAAGGAGTTTCTGCCCTCCCAGACCAAGCCTCCTGCCCAGCCTCTCACCTCAGTCCCACCTGCCCGGCCCCACTCCCCAGCCGGCGTAGCGGCCAGGGTGGGGCCAGGTGGGCATCATACAAAGACCTTGGCCAGGGCATCGGCGCCCGCACTGGCGATGAGGGCCTTGCTGGGGTGGCACGCGACAGCGTGAATAGCCTCTTCATGCTTCTTGCGGTGGGCTGTGATCTCCTGCACACATGTTTTATTGTCCAGGCTCCACAGACGCAGGGAACAGTCGTGACCTACGCAGGTGTGGGAGCTGAAAGGGCTGTCCCCCAGGACAAACCCCAGCTACTCCAAACCTGACCCTCTGGATGAGCTGGCCTTGGCACTGGATAAAGGGCCCATCTTCTTCTCCACACACCTCTCAACACCCAGGCTGAGGGAGAATCCTTTTGGCCTAGCCTGCTATCCGTCATCTAGTTACCAAGTATTCACTGGGGACCTGTGTACTAGGCTAACCTTCCCCAGCCCAGGGCTGTTGACGTTCCGATGTGGCAGACGGTAAATAAAACAGAACGAATGATGCCAGATGGTCAGCAGCACTGTGGATACAGGCTGGTCAGGGTGAGGACAGAAGGGCTAAGGGGGAACCAGGAGGAAGAGTCTTGCAGGCAGCAAGGCCAAGGGAAGGTTTGGAACTGGCAGGAGGTGGATATGGCAGTAGCAGCCTGAGCAGGGGTGTGGGGAGGAGGAAGAGGTGGTCAGAGAGCGAGGAGCAGACAGGACTGGGCCTTGGGGCATGAGCTACCTCTGGAGATGACCTGACTTACATGTTAGAAGGAACAGGCTGGCTGTGGCAGAGGCTGGCTCTATTTGTCCTTTACAGTGGGGGGGCCCCAGGCCCTGTCCCAAACCCTCTCTCCCCTGGACTTGATGCTACTGACCACTCCCTCTACCATCATCCTTAGAGACAGCTGCTGCCGTCACACGGCAGATGGAGAACAGGCTTGTTGGGTGCCCGAGCCCGTCCACCTGCTCTATTATCCCATGCACTTGCTGGCTCATGAGCTCCCACAAGCTCGGTCGGTAGGGAGCAGAAGTGAGTGGAAGAAGACCCCTTGCCCATGGCCTCTCTGATGGCCCATGCACACCCTCCACCTCCCTGGGGAGCAACGCCCCTTTTCCACCTGCCCACATCCCACCCCGTCCTGAGGCACAGCTCCACAGGAGCTGGGCTTCAGTGCTCTTATCCACAGAAAGCATATGGTGGCAAATGCTAAAGATCCCATGGGGACTGAGAGACCCCAACTTCATTCCTGCAACCAACCCACAGGGCTGCGACCAAAGCATGTAACTTCTCTGAGCCTGTCCACATCTGCACAGTGGGTACAACACACCCACCCAAGAGGATTATCTGGATGAAAGGAGATGGAGGTAAATGCCTCCAGGCGGCTCTACCCAGAGGCTCCCTGCCCGTTCCCCTGCCTCAGGGAGCCCCGGAGCACTCCCTTGTGACCAGTGCCCACATCTCTTCCTCTTCTGCTCCCACACACCCTTGCTCTTTAGGGAGTCAGGAGGGTCCGGACTTACTTCCCGACATCAGGAACACGCCGTTGGGGTCCACGGCAAGGCAGGTGACCGCGTCCAGGTGGGCAACCATGGAGTGCACAGATTTCCCTGAGAGGAGAAAGGGTGGGTGACAGGTTACTTCCTCTCAGCACCTTGCCTGGGAAGGTGATGGCCCAGACAAGACGCTGAGAGCCTGCAGCGTGGGCACCAGGAGCTCTGCTATCTGGGCAGGCCCTGCCATGAGCATGAGTGAATGGTAGAGGGAGAAGGTGGGGCCTCACCTGTCCGGCTGTCCAGGAAGCGGATGCCTCTGTCGTCGTGGGCAGTGATGGTGAGGGGCTGGTTTGGGTGACTCACCACCTGGTTGATCTGGGTTGGGCCTGGAAGGCAAGGAGGAGGGACGGACGAGAGGAGAACCACGGCCCTACAACCCTGCCCTATGCCTAGCTGTCCAGGAGGACTGGGCCCCCAGGGCTTTCCTGCTCAGGGTCATAGTACTTCCTCTGTAACCTGGGCACCGTGCCCCACCTGGGGTGGCACAGCCACCCACATGGAGCATCTGCTCTGCCAAGAGGCCTGATGATCTCTGTTCCCTCAGCCTTCCCAAGAGCCCCTCGCTGGCCACAACAGTGGCAGCTGGGACTTTACCTCCATCTGACACAGAGCCCCCTGCAAGGGGGGTAGGGAAAATGTCTTCTGTTCACTGGACATCGGGTCACCAAAGCCACAGGAGGGACTGAGGCCTGGGAAGCACTCAGATACCAGCCCCCGGCCCTGGGGCCCCCTCTTACCGCTGCTCCCCCGGGATTCCAGCGAGAGGAGGGCACTGCCAGCCTCCAGGTCATATAAGACAGTGTCGCCAGAGCGGAAGGAGGCCACAATGTGGGCAGGCTCGGTGCTGGTAAAGGCCACTGAGGTGGGGATCCCATGATCTGAGGGTAGAGGAGAAGAAAGGCTGCCTCACAAACCTGGTCCTGCCCCAGGGCTGTGGGACAGGACTTGGGAAAGCTGGGCCCTTATCAGGAGTATTGCTCCTGCAGGGGCCTCCAACTCTATACAGCTCCTCTATGAGGTGTCAGCAGCCCTCACTCACCGCTGGCTGTGAGGAAGGTACAGAGGCAGGCTGGGCTGCTGCTGGGATCCCAGATACGGATGGTGCCATCGGCAGAGCAGGAGGCCAGGCGCTGGGAGGCGGGACTGAAGGCTAGGCCCCATACAGCATCCCCATGGCCCTCCAGGACATGGCTCAGCACGCTCGGGTCTGGACGTACCAAAGGGAGACAACGGGCTACGTCAGGGCTGCCAGCTCCAACCTAGACATCTGAGAGCCAGGCAGCTGGGCTGGGTCCACCCATTCACCCAGCTTCATACCTAGAGTCCTCATGGGCTCAGAGCTATTACCCTTGGAACCTGCCCCTGCTAGCCACTCACACTCTGCCCACTAACACTTCTGGGAAGATTTTAGGACTCTGAAGGCAATCCAGAATGGAAGCTCCAGAGGGCAGGGATTATTCCCCCCTGTTCATTGCCATCCCCACAGGACCCATGGATAGTGCCTGGCACAAAGTAGGTGCTTGGGACACGATTTTTAGGACTTAATGAAGGGGAGAAAGAACAATGGTGGCTTTGAGGCCCCAAGAACCTTTGCAGCCTGGGCCCTATTGGTTGGCCCCACCCATGCTCCCTGCAGTCTTTTCTGCCCAGAGCACAAGCCCTGCCCACTCTCTCCAAAGCTCCCTAGCCCTTCTCACCCCTGCCTCCCTGGTCACTGAAGTCCACACGGGGTGCTCAGTCAGGCCCTGCTGACGTCACCCCCGTGTGTGGCAGCTTGCATGGCCCTGAGCACATACTACCTGGGACTGACCCTTTACCTTTCACAGGGTGGGACTGTTCTTAGGAAAACTGTGTCTTCTTCAAGGGAAGACACATACCTCTGAATTCTGTCTGCTATAACAACTGCTACACAGAGCCATGCATGTCATCAGAGTTATCAAAAGAGATGTCAGAGGATAGGCGACACATTTAACTGAAGTGACAGTGTAATCACTTCTCCACTTAACTTTTAAAGGTGCACTAAGGATCAAGGGCGGACTCCCTACAACCTGGCCCAACTAACCTCTCCCCCTCCCCTGCTCTACTGTTCCTCACTCCTGCACTCAGCCACCAGAAGGCTTTGCACATGCTGGGGCCCGGGCCCAGTGCTGACTCAGAGTCAGCTCACCCACCAGCCCCTCTGGGAAACCGTTCCCCAAAGCCATCTCTTTCTTGCCTCAGCCTATCTGACCCGTCACATGCTGAACACACTGCTCTATGCTCCCTCCACTGGGCTGGGGGTGTACAGTTAGGCACAGGTGGATGCTGAGGGAATGCAGAAGCTCCTGTGGACATGGGGGCATGAGGGGAGGTGCAGACAGGAGGAGGGAGCTGTCCTCACCATAACCGTCATAGGGGTCCATGTTGAGGTCCGGAATCTTCCAGCTGTGGATGCGGGCATCTGCCCCACCACTGTAACAGCATTCGCTATTGCTGCCCATGGCTACTGCCAATACAGGACCCCTGCAGGATGCAGAGGTGGTGAAGGGGAGATGAAAAACTCCATCTCACTCCTTTCCAGGCTCCCCACGATGGGACCTTGAAGTGCAATGCTAGATTTTTCAAGGATGGTCAAAAGAATTCAGCATCTGGGGCTCTGGTTGTGCCACCCAGGCCTGCCTTCCCCCAACTCCCCATGCCTGTTTCCTTCTCTTGAAGGGTGAGCTGAGAATCAGCTCTGAGACACTTGGTCTGCAGAGCACAAGGATCAAGGGGGTGCGTGTGCAGAGGGCATTTGGCCCCCTGGGGTAGTAGTGAGTGGGCCAGAAGCCAGACTGCCTTTGGGGGGCACTTCCCTACCTGTGAGCCCGGAAGGCATGGATAGGTTCCACATCTAGTGCAGCATTCCTGTGGGGAGGCAGAGGAGCCAGATGTCACTGAGAGCCCCTCATCACTCAGAACTCTACCTCCCCCTCTGGGGTTGTCGCCCTTACTTCTTGGCTGTGACAGCCTTCTGTAGGTTCCAGAGCTTCAGTGTGCCATCTTCAGAGGCGGTGAGCAAGGCAGACTGGCTGTGGTGGAAAGCCAGGGAGCGCACGCCGTCGTAGTGTGAGCGGAGAGTGAACTTGGGGTTCCATGTCTTCTTAAAGGCATCTTTGCTGTCAGAGAGCTAGAGTGGGGGGAGCTCGGTGTCCCAGCAGTCCTGTGGATGCCGACTGGCATCCAGGATATCAAGAATCTGCCCCTTCCCTACCCAGACCCACATGGAGCATCCTCACACACTGGGCTCCAGCCCCAAGCACCCTGTGTGCAGCACCCCTCTGAACACTCAGTTCAGAGGGGGCCTGGGGAAGACAGACAGATCACCCCACAGTGCACAGGAACTGTGAACTCCAAGCAGTGTTAGGAATTAAAAATGAACTGGGAAGAGACACCCAAGCAGCCTGACTGCCTCTGTGGCAGTCAGTAAGGCATTCCTGAGGGGACACCAAAGGAACAGGACTTAACCAGATCCAGGGAGGGGAATGAAGGAGGACACTGCATGTGCAAAAGTCCCTGTGGCTGCCGGAGCAGATCTAGAGCCTGAGAGGAGGCCCTGGTTACAAAGCAAGGGACAAAGTGACAGAAGCTGAGACCAGAGCCACGTTTGGGAACTGACATGGACTGGAAAGATGTGAATGGCTGCAGAGAAGCTAAGGGGTCACAAGAGAAGCCTCTCAGGGCAACAGGAGGCCACAGAGACCACACGTTAGGGGTATTCTAGAGTCACTGTACATGCCCTAGGAGGTGGTGGTGTTGCTCTGTGCATGGGGGATTCAGGGGCAGCCAACTGGGAAAGATGATGAGCAGACTGTCAGGCAAGGACTCAGTGTCCTGTCCCAACATAAGGTTCACACCACCTAACCAACCCCCTTTCACGTGGGCTCTCTCCCCCATGGTCCCCACCTGCACCATCACCACTGCCCTAGCTCTTTAGGGCCAAAGGCTCTGCCGCTACACGGTTACCCCCTCACAGGCACACCCCTGCTCAAAACCTCCATCTTGGCCCCACTTCCTGGCATCCTACAGCAATGCCTCCAACCCTGCTGGCGTTACCAACCACTTGAAATTCTGCTACAAGCCATGGTGGTGTTCTGCTTCAGGGAAATGCACACACACCCCCAATTCAGAAACTATCAGTGAGCCAGAGGCCCCTCTGTGGGTACTGGGCTCAGAACACTGGCCCTGATGTCTCCTTTCCTCTGGCCCATTGGCCACCAGCCCCACTTGCACCTCGTTTTGGGGTTTCTGGCCACAAAGATCAGTTCAATGCCCATCTCCTGTCCAGACCATCTTCCCTGCACTGTGCTGACCCTGGGCCCCCTTCCTTGCTGCCAGCCTGCGGGAGGCCAGGACTTGAGATGCACGTAAGCCACAGGTGGAAGGGAGTGTGGCCTGAAGGAGTTGAGTGCCGGCTACACCCCAGTGTCTTCCAGGCCCTGCACCTCAGTAACCTCCCCAAGCCCCCTCAGCCCCGTCTGCACCCCTCCATAAACCAGGGTGAGCTGCTGAATGACCTCACAGCATCCTCTCACTAGTGGACTGAGCGCAGCAGGCAAGGCACCCAGTCACAGCTCAGCGAGAGCAGGCACAGCGTAGGATGCCCAAGGAGGCCCCTCGGGGGAACAGGCAGCCCAAGAACTTACATCACAGCTGAGGTCGTTGTCGTTGGTGACGGTGAGATCTGCCAAGTCCCCCAGGCTCACCTCCCCGCCCCCGATAGTGTCCATGATGAAAACGTCTGAGGAGAAGCCAAAGGAACCTGGTAGGGGGAGGGGAGGGGGGGCAGAGAGGGGTGGGGGGAGAGAGAGAGAGAGAGAGAGAGAGAGAGAGAAAGAGAGAGAGAGAGAGAGAAGCAGAGAAAGAGGTAAGGAGTCAGAGAGCCAGGGAGAGGACAAGATCAAGAATCACAGCTGGAAAGAGAGAGACAGGGAGAGACAGACAGACAGACAGGGCAGGACAGACAAAAAGAGAGGGAGACAGACAGACAGACGAACTTTTGCGACAGGGAGGCTGCAGACTAGAGGCCAGGCTTTGACCCTGAGGACACAGAAGCCCCGGGCTTAGCTCTGCAGCCCCCCTATGCCATGGTGCCCCAGGGGACCGGGCCAGGGTGCAGGGGCCTCTTACCTTCGTGTGGCCGGGGCTGGGGTGTGCCAGGAGGGGGACCAGTCACTTTAGGGGGCAGCCCATCCACATCCCGAAGGTCGGCCAAAATGCCTTGGAGTTTGACCCGCCGGCTTTCTACAAGGACAAAAGCCCGGGGCTGGAGTTGCCCACCAGTTCCACCCAGCTGCTAGAAGCCCCTCCTGTAAATGTGAGGCAGTCAGGAAGCCCCGGTCCCAGAGAGTACTGGGGCTCCAGGTGGGAGTGGGGGACGGGCAGAGGGGACACAGTGTGCTGAGACCCTCTGTGGTCCCAGCCATCCTACGTGACCGCTAAGGGCCTTGTGGCTCAGAGTCACGGAACGGGAGGAAGATGCAGCACTGCCCTGTCAGCCTCTCCCCACCAGGTCCTCATCCGGTTCCTCCCTGAGGGCCGCTGAGACCTAGACTCTCAGGGACGGCTGGAGACCCCCCTCAGGGAGGGCTGGAGACCCCACTCCGGGAAGCACTGGGCCTTCTGCATCCCCGCAGGGATTTTCCAGGGAAGGGGTGAGGGCCTGGCCACCACAGTGTCGGCCTCCTGCTCTCCTTGGCCACCCTCCTTTCAGGAAGCGTATCCGTCCGGTGGAGACCCTGGGGCAGGAAGCAGCTGCAGGCGGCTGTGTGTGCCTTTACCTCGCCTGGTAAGGAAAGTTGGCCAGGAAATTCCGCTTACCCAGCTCATGGTGGGTCCCCTCTCCCGTGCACCGTCGAGGGTCTGGGGAGCCCTCCCCCTCCTCTCCTGAGCCCAAGAAATCGAACTCATTGATGGCATCCTCAGAGTCATCCTCCTCGTCCTCGTCCTCCATCTCGGGCACTAGGGCTTTGGAGGGAAGCTGGGCATGGAGAAAGCCAGACAGGTCAGGAGGCTCTGGTCCAGAGCCCAAGCCCACCCAGTCTCCAGGGCAAAGAAGCCAGGGTTCCTGGCCTCCACCTCACCCTGCGCCCTGCTTAGAAGCATCCTGCGTGCCAGCCACCAGCTCCCCTTCCCTTCCTTCAGTGTCCTTCCCCCTGCAGGGCTCCCACACACACTTTGGCAGCTGTGCTCCCCCTGCTGGAAGCCTTCAAAGGCTGCTCCTTACTAGGGCCAGGGAACTGGCAGTCCCCTACTAGGGCTTTGCCCACCTCTTCCCCATCACTACTACCCCCTCTTGATTCCTCCCAGGACCCTCCTCCTGACTCCTGCCCTCTTCCCACTCCCTCCCCTGCTACAACCCCCACCCCCTCAGCACAGTACTTCTCAGGAAAAAAAAGTCAAGCGAGATAGTCTGTTTCAGGACAGAAGAGAAAGATACGTGTGCCTACATGCACAAGTGTGTGTATGGAGGCGCAGAATTCAAGTGGGAACAGATGCCTGGGCAGAGCAGTCGTGCCAGCTTCTGTGCCTTATTCAGCGCACTAGGCAAGCATCCCACGTGACTTCACCAGCTTGTGAACAGTTACCATTGCTGCACTTAACGTGAGCAAACAGGCTGAGCAGGGAAACCCTGCACCTCAGGTCCCCGGTCAAAGATACACTAACACAGCTCCAAACCGTGAGCCTCCCAAGAGTTCTGAGTCTTCCTTAAAACTTTATTGGGTGCCTCAAACTTTGTTTTCTCACATGACAAGCGCATGCTACTTTTGGCACGAGAGAAGACAGCACTGCTCTTCCATCCTGAGATGTAGGACTCCAGGGCAGGTGAGTGCCAGCGTTCCTCCCCGTCAGTCTTAAAGCAATGCTAGGAACCAATCCTCTTGTGTTACTTGATTCGTGCACCTCAACCTAGCCCAGACTTGGGATTTCAGGGCAGCATGGCATCTGCATTTCCCCACATGGATGCCTTTCACACACAGCCTTCTACAATGACATCTTGTATATGACCCTTTACCCTCTCATGATGCAATTATCACTACATTGTGCACAAAGTGCCATCCAGGGGCTGTATGCTCAGAACCTCAAAGACCACAGAAAATGGCTTTAGGGAGCCCCAGAATTTTCACAAACAGTTCTGATCGCTGACTTTTGCTGTAAGTGCTGGCTTAAGAACACACCCTACTCCAGCACTGGGGTCTGACCACCACTAGCCTCAAATACTGCCTCTTCCAGCGAAGCTTCTCCCTCTAAAGTGTTCCCTGACTAGATCAAGTTCAGGGCACCCCCAAGGGCCTGCCTCAGTCAGACTGCAAGCCCCCCGAAGGTGTGGTCGATCTGCCCACAGGCTCAGCACTCCAAGCTGGGACTGGAGTCAAAACTGCTCAGGCAATCTGGGAGGGGCCAGCCTCTGACCTGTATGGGAGGGCCATAGGGACAGGTCAGGGTGACCTCCTCTTCCTTCTCTATGGAAGACCTGGGGTACAGGTTTAGGCAGCACACCAGGAGAGGCAAGGGGGGTGCACTGGGGCTCCACAGGAGCATGGCCACATTAACAGGCATTCTCAGGGTCTCGAAAGAGAGGGTGCCTGTCTATTTCTGTTCTGCCCTCTGGGCACAGCACTGCTCATACTGCCACCACTGATCACTTGGTATGGCCAGCCAAAGGGGAGCCAAGGGCTTTGTGTGCATGAGTTTATGTTAATTAAATCCTCAACAACCCAGAGCCAGGGACTCTGGCATCATGGCTAAGACAGAATCACATGCCCAAAGGCACAGAGCCAGGCCAGCGGCCACTCCTGGAGTCTCGGAGGTCTTTGGAGTCAGTCTGGTCACCGCAGGTGCGAGGGGGGAGAGTGCAGGCTGTGGAGGCATGAGACCCCTGCATAATAAGCCACCCCAGAGGGTCTGCGGGACAAGCGTGGTGACAGGCACGAAGTCCTAAGGGAGTACAGTCAGCAATGATCTCTGCTAAGAGGAGCAGAGAGGGGCGGGCAGGCTTCCCAGAGGAAGATGCGGTAAGAGCTGAGAGAGGAGTGAAAATCCCAATAGGGGCTCAGGGCCATCCTGACTTTCCTGTAATACAGCTCTAGTGTGCTGGCTCTATGCACTCCCTGAGAGCCCACGCCAGGCGGGACCCTGGGCTGAGCCAAACGGGGACACTGGAGACAGAGTGGCAGCCAAGACAGAGCTAGTCCTGTACAGCCATGGGGACAGCAGGCAGGGAGGGCCTGGGGCGGTCAGGGTCCAGATGGCTCCAACTCTGCCAGGGGAAGGGGAGGAAGGGTGGGCAAGAGGTCAGAAAGGGCTGCCTGGAGGAGGGGTGCTAGCTAAGGTGAGGCTGTAGGAGGCAGGGAGGGGTTCTGATGGGAAGCCCACACAGAGGCCCCCCTGCATGGGCACGCCGCTGGCCACACATTCACCCACACCAGGGACCGGACCTCTGTCTCCGCATCGTTGCTGTTGGCACAGAGCTACACCCACAAATGCCCAAACTGGCGTTTATCAGATAGGGGAGCCCAGGCCCTGACTGAGGTTAGGGCTGCTAAAATGGCAGGAGCACAGTGGCTCGGAAAATTGAGGAGCAAGGGTTAAACGGGGTGGGAGCCATTACCGTGAAGCCAAGTTGAGACCTGGACTCTACCCTGCAGGCAGTGCCCTGGGCTTAGGCCCTGACACAAGAGCAGACTGGACACTTGCACCTACAAAGTCCCCCATGGGACCCCAACCTGGCCCCAGGCTGGGGCCAGGGCCCTGCCACATCCACTCTAGGTCCTGGGGAGAGAAGATCAAGGAAACCCCTGCAGTCCCTGCCTGACAGAGCTCACAATCTATTGAAGGAGAAGACAGAGAGCCACAACCATGCCAAAAATATCTCTGTGCGACCACGATGAGGCTAGGCCAAGAGAGAGGGCTGTGAGAGGGCAGTGCATGGCTGGCCCAGTCTGGAGAGAGTTCAGGTCTCTCCAAAAAGAATGTGAAAGCTGAAGGGAAGATGGAAGAAGACAGGAGGAATGTAGGTGACACAGTACTGAGGCAGGGCTTGGCTGGAGAGGGGATGAGGACCCTGGGAAAGGACAGGGTCAGGCCACACACAAACCATGCCACAAAGGGAGTCCCAAGAGCACCCATAGGTGATCCACTATCTGCAGCTGATCCACAAAGGTGGCCCCCTGGAGGCGGGAGGGGAGGGAAGCGCACCTTCACACGCTGCTTCTTGTGCTGTACGCTGTCCAGCTCATCGTCCTCATCACTGTCCTCGTCCTCACAATTCTGCAGGAAGGGGATCTGCTCCAGCACCGAACCACTCAGGCGTTCTTTGCCATCTTTGCCTGCTGCATTCCTGCCCATGACAGGGGGACAAAGGGGGCATTAGTCCTGCCAGGTGACAGAGCTCGGATAGGAAGGTGCCAAATCACCATGGCCAGAGCCTGGACCCAGCCCTCAAGGGGACTGAGCCCACTGTGACCTCAGAGAAGCTTGGACTCTGATCACATACATGGCTCCAATCCCGGCCTCCACCTGACCCTCATTCACCTAGACCTGACCACCCTCACTTGGACCACGCACTGAGTCCAACTACTGAGCTCTGAGCTGCCGCCCCACCACACATCTGCCTGCACATACTGAGTCAGGAGAGTTGGACAGAGTCGCACCACTGACTGAGCAGACCCTTTCCCACAGCCCGGGCAAACCACAGGCGAGGTCAGGCGAGTGGCAGACATACACGGCAGGAAAGAGGAACCGGTCACCGTGCAAATGTTTGTGTCCCTATTGCCAGCCTTGCCGCCAATAAGCCTGTACCCTCGGACTGACAGATGGCCTCCTGTTTCCACTCCTGGCCGACTACCTAACGACTCTGGATAATATGTTTTAACAAAGGAGATATCTGCCAAACCTGAGTCCAGGGTAGAAAAGTGGGTGGAATTCAGAGTTTGGATAAATGCAAACATCCTCCTTTCTTGCTGCTAGGTCGATGCCCTAGAGTTCTTGCCAACTGCCCAGGTATGTGGTTACTGCCTGGAGGACACATCTCTCCTCCAGGTTGCCAGATACAGCACTCCCTTCCCAGCCACCATGTGCACAGCCTCTGGCGACGAAGCAGGTCTGTGCTCTGCTGTTGGACACCACTCAGGTTTCCTCCTCAATACTGGCTGCACGAGCTCAGCCTCCTTTGCTGTCGCTTCTAGCTTTCAAATCCCACCTGCATGCTGGTGACCTAGAGGTGAGTTTGGAGTCCAGCCCCACCCAGCTCGCTCCAGGCTGGCTCCTATCACCCGTCCTGGGGGCAACCCAGCACCACAAACTCCACCCACCCTTTGCAGCCCCCTGATGTCCCTTCCACTCCTTGTCCTTCCCACTGCAGTTGATGATGCTCCCATCACTTGGACCAAGCCCCATAGCCACCCCCTCATTTCCGTCCTCTCCCCTATGTTCATTTCTTTAAAAAGAAAAGCCATGGAGAGAGAGGCTGGCCACTTCTCACTCCTGCCGCTCACAGCCCCCACCTCTTGCCTGGATGGCACAGGAGGCTCCTCACTGCTCTCCTGCCCCTAACGCTACCCTACAGCTTCTCCTCGAAGCCGACCAGCTCACTGGATTGTGTCATACCCCTGCTCAAAACCACGGGCTTCCCACAACCCAGAGAGTAGAATCCAAATTCCCTATCGTGGCCACTACGACCCATTTGATCTGACTCCTGAGATTTCAGCCTCACCACAGACCACAAGCCCCATGTGCTCACTTGCTACAGCCGCACTGGCCTTGCTACAGGTTCCTGAACATGCCCAGCGGAACCCTGATCATCGCCATTCCCTCTGCCTAGAACATGCTCCTTCTGGTCCTTGTGTAGCTCACCGTCCCATTTCCTGCAGTTTTCTGCCCAGATGTCACCTCCATGAAGAGTGCCCCTCCCCCAACCGTGCTATTTTCCCCATCTCTTTTTTCCCCCCTTTCTCTGCATGCTGAACATCAGCACCTGTCAAGTTATTTATGTTGACCAGTAACCACAGAGGAGACAAGGAACCTGGAAAAAGGAAAAGCTCCTTGGGGGGTGGAGGCCATTTCACACCCTGCCAGGCCCCAGTTTGCCACCTAGGGTCAGCCTCTAGTAGCTAAGCAGCATGAGGCCTGAGCCTCTGGAAGGCAGCTGGGCTGGGGATGAGCTGTGGCACAGATTGGCTAGAACACGAGGCCACAGAGGGTACACACAGGGGGACCCAAAACAGGATCCAGGGATCTCGTGAAGGGCCCGAGAGGGCTCTGGAGCAAACCAGCCCACAATACACTCCAGGAAGGAAGTAGCCACCAGGGCAACCCAGCAGCACTGCTGGCTTTTCTGACACTGGCCTTCACCAGGAGGAGGGGATGCAGAGGAACGAACCTGTCAGGGCTCACCAAGGGCTCACCTCTTGATCTGCTCTTCAATCTGTTTCACCAGCAGGGATTCACCGCCACTGAGGCCCCCGGGGCCTGGTGTGGCCCTGGGGCCCCCTTCACTGGGCTCCACAGCCCCGTTGAGCTCCAATGAGCGGCCCAGTAGGGAGCGCACGCGTTTGGACCGCATATCCAGGATGGTGTCCGTGTAGCCCACCTCTTCCAGGTACCTACAGGGAGACAGAACCAGTGCGGGTCAGGCCTCCCCAGCTTCTTTATATTCAATGGGGGCGGATGCAAACAGGGACAGGCTTTTTGGAGAAGCAGCTTAAGACTACATGCCAGTGTTTTAAATAAGCATAAACCTGACCTTACTGCTCCACTTTCAAGTCTATTTCCGGGGGAAGCCTTTATGTACCAGCACAGTGCAGTCACACAGATGCTAGAGGGGATGCTGTATGGACAGCCAGACCGCAGGGGCCATGCTACATGCCCACCATGGGGGACTGTAGCCGCAAATGACTGATGGGGCCACAGAGGCACAAAATAAAGGAGGGGCAGAGGGCCAAGATGGCCATAATAAATGGCTTAACAAAAATCATAAGTTATGCGATCCACACAATTCATGTGTTGGTTAAAATAAAAAAAAAAAGCACTAACGTGTACAAGTACAGGACATACGCAAACATATATTTGAAGTGTGCCCTCACGAGGCCTGGAAAGATACATACTCACTGCACTCGCAGAAACCTTCGACCTTCAACCTTCGGAATAGGGATTAGAGATCTAAAAGCAACCTTTGCAATTTACTCCACTCACTTCTACAAATGAGCGTTTATTACTTCCACAATTTAAAATAATGGAAGCTAGCTGGCACTGGTCTGAAAGCTACAAATAGAGAAAAAAATCAATTGTGCATATCTGTGGGTATCTGGTCCTCTGGAGGCTCCTTCAGAAGCCTTTTATGTTTACCATGCCCTGGTCCCTTTGGGACCCCTGGGCCTGTGCCTCACATGCTGGAGCATACCTGCCTTCACCTGCTGTCTCATCCCAAGTGCCTGCCTGTGGCCGAGGCCTCCTCCTCCTCCTCACCAGAGGAGACACAGAGAAGCATGGTGGTGAAGACGCTGGGCTCTGGGTACAGACTGCCTGAGGTCACAAAACCCTCCATTTCATTTAACAGTTACCCTCATCTTATGACAACACATGGCCTCCCTGCATTTCTGTTGTTAGGGGAATACTAGTAGTTTGCCACATGGGAATGGAAAACACTCAACACAGGGCCAGGCACATAACAGGCACCTCGGAAGTGCTGCCTATAACAACTGTTTTGTCATTGCTGCTGGCACACACTGCAAGCTAGCAGGGCGCTTCCAGACATTCAGCTTGAGGAAATTGGGGATACGGACAAGTAACTTCCTGATGTTTGTCATACTACAGAACCATCTTTGATGAAATGCACAAGAAATGATTGGCTATGGAAAGTGATGGTTATCCCTGTGGCTGGCAATTTTATGGTTCTTAAAATGATGCAACCTAACTAACTTATATGGAAATCCATAACACTTAACAAACATGATGCAGTATAAAACACCAAGAAGGGGAGTGCTTGCTTTTATGAAACACAGACTGGGCCCCACCAGAGACACCAAAGTGCTTACAGGTGCATGAGACTCCCTGGGTAGTGGTGAAATTATGAGTGATTTTTATGTGTGTGTGTTTCCCTATGTTTCTCGAGTTTTCTAAAACACACAAATCTCTTTAATACTACAAAATAATTTGACATAACTTGTTTTTGTTTGGTTTGGTTTTTGGTGGGCAACAAAGTTTATTGAGCTCCTGAAGGGAGGGGGGGACCAAGAGGGTTGCCCTACCCTTTTTTTTCTTTTAAGTGAGAGACTTCTAGGCACCTGGGTGGTTTTTGTTTTTGTTTTCTATATTTTATTTATTTATTTATTTATTTTTAATTTTTTTTTTTTAATTTTTATTTATTCATGATAGTCACAGAGAGAGAGAGAGAGGCAGAGACACAGGCAGAGGGAGAAGCAGGCTCCATGCACCGGGAGCCCGATGTGGGATTCGATCCCGGGTCTCCAGGATCGCGCCCTGGGCCAAAGGCAGGCGCCAAACCGCTGCGCCACCCAGGGATCCCTATTTATTTATTTATTCATGAGAGACACACGGGGGGGGGGAGGGGTAGACAAGGACACAGGCAGAGGGAGAAGCAGGCTCCATGCAGGGAGCCTGATGTAGGACTTGATCCCGAGTTTCCAGGATCAGGCCCTGGGCTGAAGGCAGCGCTAAACTGCTGAGCCACCAGGGCTGCCCCACCTGGGTGGTTTAGTAGGTCAAGCATCTGCTCTCAGCTCAAGTCATGATCCGAGGGTTCTAAGATCAAGTCCTGCATCAGGCTCTTTATTCAATGAGGAGTCTGCTTCTCCCTCTGCCCCTCCCCGCCACTCATGCCTGCTCTAGCTCTCTCCCTCTCAAATAAATCTTAAAAAAAAAAAAGAGAGAGAGAGATATCTGGGGTCACTTCCCAGGAGTAGGGCCCCCCTACATCTGCCTTCTTAGCAAGTCTTCCCTCCCTCTCCAGGCTGGGCTCCATCCACAGAAGACAGGCCAAGAGAAACCCTGACAGTTCAGCATCCCACCCCCAGGGGGGTCAGGAAGGACTGTGGAGTCTTCAGACTTATCTCCAGAGCCAAACGTGTCCTTCTCCCCAACACAGCCCAGCCCCCCTGTCCTGCACACTCACTGTCGGAGAAGCTGCCGCCCCTCCTTCCACACCAGCGGGCTGTTCTCCAGGGTGACCGACTCCACAGGGCCATTGGAGACTGGAGAATGGAGATAAAGGAGGCAGGCCGTCTTAGGGCAGCACCATGTACCTATCACCTCCTCCACCCTCCTCACCCTCCAACCCTCTTCAGTTACTATCCGTCACTGTCACAGATCCTACCAAGTCCCTTCCTGAGGGCACCCCTCCACACCCTCTACCTAGACTCCTGAGATTCTTTAAACCACCTCCCAGACTACCTTCAGACTCCCATCTACTTATGTCAGTTTCCCACACAGGAAGCTGGCACAGTTCTGAGAAAGTCTGCAAAGCACACTCTATACTTTTGAGTAGGACTCTGCCACTCACCAGCTGTGTGACCTGGAGCAAGTTGGTTTACCTCTCTAAGCCTTAGCTTCCTCTTCTGAGAATACTAGTTAATACTAACAGCACTTAGCTCTTGGGATTGTGAAAATTAAATGAGATTGTGTTTATTTTGTTCACCAACTACTTACCAGGCATCGCATCTACTAAGCACCCAGCTAGGTATCCAGGCTACAAAAGTAACAAAGACCCCTGCCTTTGTGGGACTCCTGTTGGTGGGAGGGGTCTGACGTAAAGAACATTACTGTTAACTGGCCCTGAAAGGCCTTGACGGGTCGCCCAGCCCCTCACTTCCACTGCACCACCCACCTGTTCCAGTCACACTCAGAAACTCCTTGTCTCCTAACATACCACCCTCTTTCATGTCGCCATGCTTCTGTACACCTGTCCCTCTACCTGGAACACCTGCCCTACCAACCTGGTGGTGAACACAGCCCTCTTCCGAGGAACTTAGAACATTAAGAACATTAGATTCATTAAGTGTCCATCTATTTCACAGAGGGACAGCAGGCAGGACTGGCCTACTTCACACTATCTAGCTCCCTTCCCAGTCAGGGCCCCACAGAGTAGCCCCTGAAGAGGGGAACTGAGAGTGAAGCTCAAATCCTCCCCAGCACCCCCTCCAGCCAAGTCAGCTTCCTGCGGAGCAAAGTAAAAAAGAGGTGGCCCAACTCTGCACAACTCCATCACACTGACTTCTGTTGCGGGGGATGGGGGGGCCCAAGTTGGGCAGATATGAGGGTGGGTACCTTGTTCTGCCAATTCTGGTTTCTTCTCCCCTTGGTTCAGGTCTGTTCCAAACTTCAATTTATGATATTTGGCCCTAAGAGAGCAAATTATTAATAGGTGACAGACGCAGAGGAGTATATAGGGCCAGCACTCACCTCAGGGATCCCAGATCCCAGAGCCTCCCCGAGTCCCGATGAAGCAGTCACCTCCCCCCCTGCCGTGAAGAAGCAGTTCTGGTGGAAAAGGCACCACACATGGCATTATGAGGAATCCACTCTTTGGAGTCAGGCAGCCTGGGGTGCTATCCCAGCTCCAGGGGTCCCTGAAGACATCCTCACCCTCTGGAAGCCTCACCTGTACCCACGAGGTAGCTCAACGGGGTCAATGAGGCAATGTGCATACAGTGAGAGCCACCATCATGATAAATATTGTCCTTAGCCTTTATCCTGAACTCCACCTACTGTGTGTTGTTCTGTCCCTCTCTGCTACAATCCGACAGTGATGGGCAATGGGGAAGAGAACACTGGATTGCAAACCTCCCAAGGCTGGAAGGCACTGCAGCCAGCCTCCAAACCCTGCCACTCAGGCCTACCTTCTCAAAAGGACTCACCTCTCCTGTTTCAGTGCATATTCCAACATCTTGATCCGCCGTACCAGGTCTGTCTTGAGATTCTCTTGCCCTTTCCTTTCTCCCTGGAGGAAGGCCACCTGAGCCTGGGGGGACAGAAGGGAACAGGAGGACAGCCGGGCTCAGGTTCACTTAGGTGTGCCCCTCACTCACATAAGGACAATCAGCTCCAGCCCCTATTCCCACAATGACATGCAGCAGCCACTTCTTCAGGCGTGAAGACCCTGAGCCAGGGTTCAATGGAGCAGTGACAGGGCATGCTGGATCTGTTTCCAGAGTCCCCTGCCATGTGACCCACCATGAAAGAGCTGAGGAGGAGTCCTTAAGCCTTGAAATTAGAAGGGGTGACTTGGCCCCTGCCTTTTGGGGGAGAAGTCGGATCGGGGATGAAGGTGGAGAGGTAGGCGTGAAGAGCCTAGGCTCCTTCTCCCCCACCCTAAGGCAGGTGCTGTCCTCTAGGTTGCTGCTGGAGGTGGTGTCTCACTATTTCTACCAGAGCATCTGTCTCTGGGAGGCGTAGGAAGCTACTTCGGGAGCTTAGGGACAAGAGTGGGTGGCTCAGCTCAGCTCCCGCTCCAATGCAAAAGCTTTACCACCCAACCCCCAACGTGGGGACCAAGCGTCCCACTGGAGTCTGCCCAGGGTGAGCAAGACATGCTACAGATATGACCCAGGGCCCCTGCCAACCACTTCACACCATCTGCTGGCATGGGCTGCCCCAGTCTGCTCTGGTCTGTCAACAGGTCTTTTGGAGACACTGGGCCAACGGCCTTCGAGGCAGGATCCTGGCCCCTGACCATGTTCCAGAAGTCCTGTGCCAAAGCCCTAAGAGCAGGGCTCAACCCTGGCTTCTCCCCAAGTGCTCCACTGTTACAGGCTGGGACAGCCTGTGCTCCAGGCCGGGCTCGGCCACTTACTTGCTGCATGATCTTAGGCAGGTCATCAGCCTTCTCTGAGCCTCCATTTCCCCTTCTAGAAAATGGGGCTCACGAGAGTGCCTGCCCCTCATGTGTTAAGTTCTTCTCAGTCCGAGGCCTAGCACAGAAGAAGGGCTAATAAATGCCAGCTCCTACCTCTTATTATTTTTATTCTCCCTGTCTCTTCTTCCACAACGATGAAATGGGCCCAGTTCTTTAAGACCCAAGACCCATCAAGCAGAGATGTCTGTGGCTTACAGGCCTCCTGCCCCACAGGCAGCTGCATCTTCCTGGAGCCAATCCCCAAATATCACATGCTAGTTGGGGAACTTCAATGACTCCACTGGAAGCCCCGGGTCTGACCACAGACACCTTTTCCAGGCCATGCCCATTCTCAAAGCCCAGCTCCAGGACTGTAAGTTCTCGGCAGTCTCTCAGATGCCCACCCACACTGCTCTCCCTCTCCTTGAGGCTCGAAGGGCCCAGGGGACCTACCTGCCCCGTGCATTTGGGATTACAGCACAGCTCTGTCCACAAGCCTACTAACACCTTGGTCCTCTTCCAGGGACCAGGTGTCTCCCTTAGGTTAGCTGAGAACTGAGCATGTGCTAATTAATGCCTGGCACTGGCCAAGGACTAGGGAAACGGGCATGCTCATATACCACTGATGAGGTCATAAATCAACACATCCTTCCCGGAGGGCAATTTGGCCACATCTATGAAAATGTTAAATGCACATTCCCTTTGTCCTGACAGGTCCACTTCCGAGGATGTAGCCTACAGGTATAACTGCAATGTAGGCTGCCTTTCAAGAAAATAAAAAGGAATAAATGTGCATTGATATAAGACAAAAGTATCATGCACTCATTTGTTTACTGCACTGATTTTTTACTGAGCCCCAACTGTGTATCAGGTACAGCTGCAGAAAGAGGAATATAGCACTAAACAAGACAAGGTACATGTTCCAGAGGAAAGGATGGGACAAAGAATGTACAGATCACCATATGTCACCAGGTATGGCGTGGGTGGAAAAAAACCCCATCTGTCTGTTGAGGGAATGGGACCTTCGTCCCCTTCTGAACACTTTTTTCTCTATACACTTTAAATCAACACATATATCCATAAACACCTAAGACCAGACAGGTGGACTCACACGTGGTCATCATCTTGGAAGTCTGAATCTCTGTCCTTTGGGTATCTTCTCAGCCATCCAAATCTGCCCTGTCCAGTCACTTTAGAAGGCGAGGAGAGGGATGCCTGGGTGGCTCAGTGGTTGAGCGTCTGCCTTCGGCTCATGGCGTGATCCCGGAGTCCCAGGACTGAGTTCCACATCGGGATCCTTGCATAGAGCCTGCTTCTCCCTCTGCCTATGTCTCTGCCTCTCTCCCTAAATGTCTCTCATGAATAAATAAAATCTTAAAAAAAAGAAAAATAGGGGCAGCCCCGGTGGCTCAGTGTTTAGTGCCACCTTCATCCCAGAGTCTGATCCTGGAGACCCGGGATTGAGTCCCATGACACGCTCCCTATATGGAGCTTGCTTCTCCCTCTGCCCGTGTCTCTGCCTCTCTCTCTCTCTCCTTCTCTGTGTCTTTCATGAATAAATAAATAAAATCTTTTAAAAAAAATAGAAGGTGGGGAGAGAGGTAGGGAAGAAAAAGCCAACCACCAAACCTAAGCCCCAAGTCACCTCCTCACTGTTCTCGCTATCCTCTGGGGCTTCCATATTGAGCCTTCTACTTGCCAGCACAGGTACATCCTGCTGAACGCCTACGTTCATTCAGTATCCAGCACTAGTGACTGCCTGTGACAGCCAGGTCCTGCATGAGGCACTGGCAGCGTAATGGAGAAGATGAATGGTTCCTGCTCCCCCCCACCCCCCAAGCTCTCAGTACATCACAGGACAGGCAGGGACATCAACAACCAACACATGGTGTGATGAGGCACGGTGAGGGAACAAAGGATGTTATGGGAGGGACAACCAACCCACTCCTGGAGGTAAGAAGCACAGTTCAGCCAAGACCTGAAGGCTGTTAGAAGTTGGCCAGGGGAGTGGAGTGTGCTGCTGGCAGAGGACAGAGACAAGAGCTGTGTGGCAGGCTTAAGGAATGCTAAAAAGGCCAGAACAGTGGCATGAGAACGTGTAACAGGGTTAGTGAGGAAAGGCAGAGAGGATTGTAGGCCCGAGAAAGGACCGCAGGTCAGGTTAGAGTTTGAGAATTGTCCTACGAGCAAAGGGGAAGCCACAGAAGGGTTTTAAGCAAAGGAGAGACGTAATCGGTGCCTGCTACAAAGACAATTCCAGTTATACTGTGGAGAACTGATGGCTGGGGTGTCGGGGGGACACCGCATGCCCAAAAAGCTAAAGACCTGTCAGTCACAGAAGGCGGTCCCAGAAATCCTGAGAAGAAATGACAGTAGCCCAGACTAGGAAGGAGTGCTGGGTTGGTGGATCTGAGGTAATAAGGAAGCAGAACTGATAACACTGGTGACTCCGTCTGCGTGGAGAAGAAAGGGAAGTCAAGAACATACCAGGCCCTCACACTTGTTCAGCCTGGCCCCTTTATCTCCTTGCTATCACCACGCAAGCCCCGATCTCCCTTCTCCTAATAATTGTGGTGCAAGAACCTGGCTCAGCATACTCTGCTCTGTTGTCCCCTTTCCAGCTCCCCTGGCAAAGAAGGGAAAAGAGAGAACCAGAAACATGGTTGAAGTGAACCAACTTGGTGGAATCCCACTGGAAGGGGAAGTGTTGGCGGCCAGTTCCTCCTACCTCCGAAAATGCCAGCAGCCCCACTGCCTGATCTAGTAGTGCCATGGTGGGCTGGCAGGTAAGCCCAGGATCTGGAAGTTCTCTACCCCCCATATCCACCCATCGCCACTCCCTCTGGCCAGACTGTTAGAACACACACACCCCCAGAACTGTGCACAGACACGGCTGCCGCCTCTCCTGCGGCTGTTCCATCTCCCCGGCCAGGCGGCACTGCAAAGCCTTTCCAAGAAGCCTTAGCATCTCAGTCCTCCCAGGAGTGGATGCTTCTCTGTATCCTGCTGCTGACCTTTCTGTGCCAGCCCCTAGTCCTGTCTGTTTCCCTTCTGGACCCACCTATCCCTGTAACTCCTACACTCTTCCTGCCCCAGGGCCAGAGGCTCCTGGCAGGGATGACTCCCCACTGGATCCCTCAGAGCCGCTAGTGAGGCTGGCAGTGGGGGAGGGGCCAGTTCCACACCTTCTCTGCCGCCACCATGCTCACATCTCCATATCGCTGCTCCTATATGAATGTCCAGTTGAGATTCCCCTGAGACATTCCTCCTGTCCTCAGGGAGCTTCCCTCCCCAGAAGCGCCAGAGATCTATAAACTCTATAGGGTTTGTACGTGATCTTTTGTGCTTGTCCCGTGTTCATTTACCTTAAATTTGTAACATACATATCTATAAAATCGGAAATATTTATGACTTTAACTTATATTCTGTTTAAAAAAATCTTATTCTTTCTTTTTTTTTTTTAAGATTGATTTATTTATTCATGAGAGACACAGAGGCAGAGACACAAAGCAGAGGGAGAAGCAGGCTCCCTGCAGGGAGCCCGACATGGGACTCGATCCTGGATCTCAGGATCACATCCTGAGCCAAAGGCAGATAGACGGTCAACCGCTGAGCCACCCAGGCATCCCTTATGCTTTCTTAAAGTGATCACTGTGCTTCGAGCAGAGCCACACAGTCAAATAACCCCATGTGCGGGCGAGCGTGCACAGTTCTCTGCAGCCTCTGGTGCAAACTAGCCTCCTCTGTTAGCCTGGAGGTCTCCGAAGGGCAGAAACCACACTGCGGGCTTCTCAGGATCCGGCACCTGACAAAAGTCCTGCTGGTGTTAGACGGCATCTATACCACCTCCCTGCTCCGATCTCTGGGTACCTCTTGGCAGAACCTCACAAGAAGCTGCCTTTTCTACCATCCCCCCGACACACACACTCACTGGGAGCATTGACTGCACAGCTGGTCCTGTGCCAAGAAGAGCTATACTCAGCTATTTGGAGAAAAGGTATTCAGGGTTCCTCACAAAAGTCTGACACAGACCCAGCCTTCAAGGGTCTCACAAGAGAAGTCACACCTCTGTAAGTAGTAAGTGTTCGGGCAAAGGCGTGTAAAAAGAGGTGCCGCTGATGGGAGTGTGTGGAACTGTGGGGCAACGTGGCAGAACCAATCACCATTTTATAACATAGCTTTCTACCATTCCACCCACCTATTCTGCTTTATACCCACATGGGAATATAAAGATATTCACTGCAGCCATTTCTGATGGGGGAAAAGCTGGAAAGAAGCTGAAAGCCTGGGATCCCTGGGTGGCGCAGCGGTTTGGCGCCTGCCTTTGGCCCAGGGCGCGATCCTGGAGACCCAGGATCGAATCCCACGTCGGGCTCCCGGTGCATGGAGCCTGCTTCTCCCTCTGCCTGTGTCTCTGCGCCTCTCTCTCTCTCTCTCTGTGACTATCATAAATAAATAAAAATTAAAAAAAAATTATAAAAAAAAAAAAAAAAGAAAAGAAGCTGAAAGCCTATCCGCAAGGGTCAACTAAAAGAGCTATGGTACAAACAGCAGGTGAAACATAGTTATCAAGAACAGTAAAAAAGCTCTCTGTGCTGATAGGAAAGGAATACCAAGACATGAGAAACAAGTGACACGAGAAACAAGTATAGTATATGAAAAAGTCACAAAATGATATATGTGACCTCATATTTTACACACAGAGCTGAACTACTTTTCTAGCAGTAACAGTTACAGAGAAGAGCAGGAAGGTGGAGGGGGGCTGGGGCGGCTCATCTGTTAAGCATCTGCCTTCAGCTCAAATCATGATCCCAGGCTGGGATCTCCAGCCACCACCACCCCACCCCCACCCCACCCCACCCCACCCCACCCCACCCCACCCCCCGCCTATGCTCTCCGTCAAACAAATAAATAAAATCTTAGGGGAAAAAAAGGGCAGGAAAGGGACAAAGTGAGAGAGAGAGCTTTCTCTTTTCATACACACATATATATGTACGTATGCACATACTTCTGAGACCTTTGCATTTCCACTAATGGGACAGAACAAAAGGAAAACAAAAGTACAAAATACATGATGTGGCAGCCTAGACATGGGACAGCCTAACTGGGTGCTATCTACAAGTTCCTCACACTCCAACAAGGGCCGCTGGATAAGGACATAAACACACAACTTTTCTTAAAAAAAAAAAAAAAAAAAAGATTTTATTTATTTACTCACAGACGCAGAGAGAGAGAGAGGTAGAAGGAGAAGCAGGCTCCATGCAGGGAGCCCAAGGCAGGACTTGATCCTGGGTCTCCAGGATTACACCCTGGGCCAAAGGCAGGCGCCAAATCACTGAGCCACCTGGGCTGCCCCACAACTTTTCTTTCTTTAGTCTCAAACATGAGAATGTGGTACGGTGGGTGCTGCAGTGTACACTGGCATAAAGTCCCAGAGACCAAGATTCAATCCCAGGTCTAGTTATGACTGTTGTCTAGGATGACTCTCAAGAGGCCACTGGGCTTCTGTGGAACATTTTCCTCATCTGTATTGGGCAGCAGAGAGGTATGGAGAATGGGCTAGCAGCCCTGCCACCCACGGGCTGTGATCGTAGAGCAATCACAGACTGTCTCTCTCTCTCATCTCTCTCAGAGCCTCCCTTTCTCTTCTGATTCTTTTCTCAAAAAGCAAGGGTGGGGGAATAGGATCACTCACCATCCTAGAAGGATTAAATGATACCATGTATCTGAAGTGCTTCATACAGTTCCTGGCACTGCATATGTGCTCAATTAACAGCTGCTGTCATTACTGCTGAGTGAGGGCTATGACACCTGCCCGGTCTCCATAATGAGGTACTGAGATCTAGCTGGATGTATGCTGGGAAAGAGCTCTGGGAACAGAGTTGAACACAAAAGTAAGGGGTACTTGCATAAGGATTCCTCTCCTACCTCAATGCTAAGCCTCAGCTATCACACAGCTAAGCTCCCTGGTGGGGGAGGGAGGGGGAGAATTATGGAATGTCTCTTCATTCATCCTCTGGACAAAATTTTTAAGTTCTTTATTTGGTGCCCCCATATCAACTAGACAGGAAGCTGTGAACCAGAAGGGGAAACCTGGGTTGCTAGAAGTTGATACCGGTTTCTGCTAATTATACCCCAGCCCAGGAACCCTCAGAGTCCTCATGGCCCATTCTTGGATCCCTTTAAATCCTCAGAACTCTGATGCCCCATCCTCCCGACACTCTGCAAGCAGACCCATTCTGCAAGCAGACCCATTCTGCAAGCAGACCCACACTTCTCAAGGTCGTGAAATCCAGCCCAACTCCTCAGGCTCTAATAAACTTCATCTCAGGGCACACTCCTCTCCCAAGCTACTCCACAAACCATGGGAACCTTCCGCAGAAACATCCTCTCTGAGTCCTGAGATGCTTCTTCAACACTGCCTGCCTGCTCTGCAAAATGCTGCCCTGCCATCCTCCAGGTATCCCCCACTGAGTCCTCCTGTTCTCCAGCCCGGGTCCCCTTATCTCCACGTTGGCCAGCACCGCACTCCAGTCCAGAGTTCTCCACCAGGCATCCTACACACAGCTCCATCTCAAGGCCTTCCCCCCCATCCCGCACTCCTCCACACCCCTCAGACTGGAGTTTCAGCTCTGCAGCCCTTCCATACAGGCTCCTGGAGCAAGTCCTGGCCCTATCTACGCTTCCTCGCCCGGTACCCCTCCCTGCCTGCACTCCATAGCCACACATGCCAGGGCTCCCCAAAGTTTCCTCCTTCCTTAGAGGGGAGGGCACACATCTTCCTGCCGGGACCCCTCGAGGCCCTTCTCTCATCCCAAGTGCTCATACAGCCATCTTCCAGTTCCCCCTAATCCGGGACAAGTGCTCCGAAACGCACCCCGTCCCGGCTCCCTAACTTCCTCTCCCCACTCGACTCACTGTCGCCCTCGGCGGCTCCCAAGTCCCCCCGACGCCCCCTTTCTCCCACCCAAAGCCCATCAGGTTCCACCTCTAACCCCTCACCTGCTCGGGGACGGGGTGGGAGCCCCGCAGCACCTTTCGGGCTTTTGCTCGCTCCCAACAAGGCCCCCCGAGTCCTCCCACCACCCTCCGCTGAGTCCTGGGCTCCTCTCCAGGCAGCGTGTGCCGGTCCGCTCACTCCCACTCCCGCTCAGCCGGCTCGGGTCCCCTGCGCCCCTCCCCTCGGCCGGTCCCGGTCGGTTCCTCCCGCCTGTGGGGCCCCGCTCCCGCCTCGAGCCGCCGAGAGCCCTCAGGACCCCCCTCGGGCGGCCCCTCACTCAGTCTCCGGGCCGGTCGCGGTCCCCTCCCGCCCCCCCGGCCGTCCCGGCGGCCATTGCTCCAAGATGGCGGCGGCGGCGGCGGCGGGTGAGGCCGGGCCGGGCCGGGCGGGGGGTCGGGGGTCCCGGGGCGGCGCTCACCTGCAGCTCGGCGCGCTCGGCCTCCCAGCGGGCCTTCTCCGCTTCGAAGCGCGCCCACTCGTGCTGTATAAAGTGCAGGATGCCGGGCAGGCTCAGGGGCTCGGGGCCCGCCGTAGGCCCGGGGCTGCCTCCGCCGCCGCCTCCTTTACCAGCCGGGCCGGGCCCCGGGGCAGGGGCAGAGGCCGGGGCCGCCCCGGTCGGGCCGGGGCCCGCGCCAGAGCCGAGCGGGCGGCAGGAGGAAGCGGCGGCGGCGACCGCGGCGGCCGCTCGCTCCTCCATCATGGAGGCCCCGGGGCCGGCCCGCGCGCCCGCTGTGCCTCGCGCGCCTGCGCGGCCGTACCACCCTCCCCCCCCCGCCCGCGCGCGCGCTCGGCGGGGGCCGGTCGGGGGGGCGGTGATGGGAACGAGGCCGGGCACGCGCCTCGCCCACCCGGGTCGACCCCGAAGCGCGCGCGGGGGGGGGGGGAAGGGGCGGGGCGGAAGGGGCGGGGCGGAGGCGCGGGCGGCGAGGAGGGCTAAGGAGACCCAGGCCCAGAGCGAGGGTCGCGCCGGGGGGAGAGCAGGACTTTGGGAAGAGCCGCTTTCCGCCCCCTCTCCTCCGGCTTCGTTCCAACCCCCTCCAGACCCAAATGTCACTCTCCTTGCCACTGTCCCCCTGAAGGAAAGGGCGACCACCAGGGGTGGTTTCAGCAATGGTCCCATCCTCTCTGGTTCCTGGCTCAGGTCGGTAGTCATGGTAACCCTCCCCCTTTGTGGCAATGGAGCGCCAAACCTCTCCGGTCCCTGTACCAGGAGGAGGTTGCTAAGGTAACCTAAGTCCCTGGTGGTCCTTCCACCCCTACCGGCTCTTTGGTTACTATGGCAACCTCACCTAGCGCTCAGGTAGAAAGGACCCTAGCCCCAAGGACACTGACTTGCTGAAAGAACACCTCTTTCCCAACACCTCCCCCTAGCCACCCAGCTGGCATTACCATGGTAACCATCCCCCTCCTCATCGTGAGAGAGCCAGGACCAAACCAACCAGGTGTTTTTATTTAGAGGAGAAGATGCTCTGCTGAGGAGTGGTTGCTATGGTTACAGGGCCTGGACCAGGAGGTGGAAATGGAGAAAAACTAACCCCTAGTTACTATGGTAACATGGGCAGTCCTCCCCTTCCAGAGACCCTAAGAGCAAAGCTCACCAAGGTAGGGGACCTTTTAGGATTGTGTCTCAGGATGGAGTATGTCTAGGGAAGGGGTTGTGGTTGTCATGGTAACAGCTTTGGTTACTTCTAGCCCCACCTTTCTGGACACATTCATAAGAAAGGGATGGTTATAGGTCGTTATGCTAACCGACATCCTTCCCACCCATTCCCGAGACACTCCAGATGGTGGGTGAGCTTATGGAACGACAAGAGAAAAGATTCTCTGACCTTCTCATTGCCACTTTTGTAGGTAAGGTGAAATCATACTCTCCTGTGCAAAATTGGCTGATTTGGGGTTTTCTGATTCTTGTTCCCTCAGCAATGCAGCTGAGCTGGGCTGGAACCACCCACCCGGAGCTCCCACAGCAGCCTCAGAGGTAAGAAGTTCCTCAGTGTCACCAGCACTGGTGTGGAAACTGCCCTCCCCACATGTCACTCATTTTCTCTGCCTGTTGTGTTCCCATGCCATGGATGGAGCAGCCAAGGCTCAGTCTAGAGCAGCACTCAGGCCAGGTGAACCTAGGCCTCAAGTGAATCTGGATCCCCTTATGTTGTTTTCTGGGGAACAGAGACAAAGTCTCAGCTTAACTGTCCTCTCCTCCCCGGACCACCTTTTCTCTCTCACATCCCTCTCTGGTTTCCTGACCTATCTGTAAGGTGTGTGTTTGTGGTTTTTGTCTTCCTCTCTGTGGAGGGCCTGCCCAATGACTGCCTCGCTCTCTCCCTGTCCCCAGAACACAGGGTCTGGCCCAGAGGGTACTTAGGAAATATCTGTCTGTTGGTTGAGTTGATGAAAAGCACCTATCGGGTTAGGGCTGCAGAATATTCACTGAAGGTAGACAGTGAGCTGGGCTGTCTGAGTGGACCCAGGAAAGACAGCAGAGTTTATTGGTTGAAAACATGACTGGGGGCCAGCTTTGTGGGTCAAATCCTGAGTCCACCGTTTCCCAGCTTTGTGACTTTGAATGAGTGACTTCACTTGTCTGTGCTGGTTTTTCCCCAACTTTAAATGTGATCAGGGGCAGCCTGGTGGCTCAGCGGTTTAGCACCGCCTTCAGCCCGGGGTGTGATCCTGGAGGCCTGGGATTGAGTCCCATGTCAGGTTCCCTACATGGAGCCTGCTTCTCCCTCTGCCTGTGTCTCTGCCTCTCTCTCCGTATCTCTCATGAATAAATAAATAAAATCTTTAAAAAAATAAATAATAAAAAATAAATAAGTGATCAGAACTTGAAGATTAGAGATGCCTAATTAGGTGGCTCAGTGGTTGACCCTCTACCTTCGGCTCAGGTCGTGATCCCAGGATCCTGGGATCAAGTCCTGGATCAGGCTCCCCACGGGGAGCCTACTTCTCCCTCTGCCTATGTCTCTGCCTCTCTCTCTGTGTCTCTCATGAATTAAAAAAATAAATAAATAACTTTAAAAAATAACTTGAAGATTAAAGGGATCTGGCATGTTATGAGCAACTAGAATTGTTGCTATTACCACCCTATTGTGGTGCAGAAACACATAGAATATTCGGACCTTCAAAATCATCATTTCATCCACTTTTCCTCAATAAAGGCATTTCGAGCCCTTGTGGTTGAGGAAGCCAAGTCCAACCTTGTCAGGGTACTAGATGATTCCTTTCTTTTTCTTATGTGGAAACTGCCCTCATCTGTTGGTCTGGCTATCATAACCACTGGTCTCTGAGGACCCAGTTTCTGTCCTCTGTTCTGCTGGGCACCTCGTGGCCCAGAAGCAGCCAGACAGAACATGCTGAGAGCCAGAACGTGGGAGATAGAGACCTGGGTTTTCCCTGCATCCTTTGTCTCTGAGCCACAGGTTCCCCATCTGAACAACTGGATTCAGTCATTCGTGCCATACAAATTTATTGAGCATCTGCTATGTGCCAGGCACTGAGGTGTACTCTGAGTATATAGCAGGGAACAAAACAGTAAAATTTGCACAGTAAAGACTTGGAGAGAAAAATGCAGGGATGGGACACAGGAAATATGTGAGTGATAGGGAGATGCATTTTGAAAAAGACTGGCCAGAGGTACCTGGGTGGCTCAGTGGTTGAGTGTCTGCCTTTAGCTCAGGTCATGATCCTGGGGACCTGGGATTGAGTCCTGCATCGGGCTCCCTGCAGGGAGCCTGTTTCTCCCTCTGCCTATGTCTCTGCCCCTCTCTATGTGTCTCTCATGAATAAATAAATACAATCTTTAGAAAAAAAAAAGTGGGCAAAGAAAGGGCTCACTGGACAGGTGATACTTGAACAGAGACCTGAAGGCCATGAGGGAGGAGACTTGCAGATACAGAAGGGGCAGGGGGGGTGGGCATCCAGGCAGAGGGAACAGCCAGCGCTTTGGCCATAGTGTCCTGGGAGTATTTGAAGACTGGGGTTTGGTGGCCAGTGTGGCAGAAGCTAAGTCAGCAGGAGAGGGTGGGGGATCATGCAGGGCCTTATGGGCCCTGGTGAAGACTTTGGCTTTTCCTTTGGGTTATGAGCTACAGAAGGGTTTCAGCAGATGCAGGACAGGATCTAATTTGAATTTTAACAGGATCTCTCTGGGTGCTGAGTGGGGAACAGTCTAGGGGGAGGGGGGTGAGGGCAGAGCAGGAAGATGGTCTCTTTAGAATCTTTTTTTTTTTTTTTGAGGATTTTTATCTATTTATTTGAGAGCACAAGCAGGAGAGGGGCAGAGAAAGAAGCAACCCCCCCCCCCCCCCCCCCCGCTGAGTAGGGAACCTGACACAGGACTCCATCCCAGGACCCTCGGATCATGACCTGAGCTGAAGGCAGATGTCAAATCAACTGAGCCATCCAGGCACCTGGTTTCTTTAGAATCTTTAGAAGATTGTAGAATCATCAGTGGTCTCCTCCTATGTTTCTGTATACATAAGCTCTAAGATTCTAAAATTTTTAAGGCCCTGAAGATTCTATGGTTCCAAAGATCCCTCCCCCCACAGTAATAGGAGGTCAGGGTTGCTTTCTGTCTCTGCGTCCTATGTGTCCACTGTTGAGTCCCCAGAGCCAAGAACAGTGCCTGGCATGTCATAAACATTCCACAGAGAGGGAAGAAGTAAAGGAAGGAAGAATCAATCTAAGGTCCAGAAGGTGATTCCAAAGATTAAGAAGTTGCTTTTAAAGTGCAACTCAGATTCTTGAGTGTCAGCCAAGCTGGGTCAGAGAAGGGCAAGCAGGCCTGGGATGGGTGAAGAGGGGTAGGAGGGCATTCCTGGTAAAGGGCAGCGGGAAGAGGAGGCAGGAAGATCCGGGGCCCAGAGTTGTAGTACAGAGTTTGACTTCAGGAACCTGAGGCCCTGTAGACTCTGAGAACCCTGATCTTGGGAATCAGCTTTTCACCAGGTGCACTTTGAGTGCCCACCCATGTGCTAGGAACATAGAGGTGATCCAGGAACCCTGGCTTTACCCTCCCAGGTCTCACCGTCTAGTGAGGCCAACCGACCCATCCCCAGATGATGCCCAATCAGAATGGGCAGGGCTGGGACTGGGAGCCCAGGGGCTTCAAGATCCCATGGAGGACTTCTGACCCAGCCTTGGGTTCAGGGAGGGCTTCCTGGGGGAGGAGGCACCAGAGCTGAGTGGTAAAGCATAAGTAGTTCTCCGGGAGAAAAAAGTCATGGGGAGAAGCGGTGTTTGGGCAAAGATTCTTCTAAGCAGAAGGAACAGAATATACAAAGGCCTAGAAATAACATCTGTTTGAGGAAGAGTCCAAGGTGGTTTAGGCAGAGTTTGACAGGTCACAGGAGATGGAGCTGGACTGGGGGGCCAACAGGAGACAGGTCACCCAAGGCCTTGTGGGAGGTTGTAAGAAATTTAACTTTTGCCTCAGGGTACTGGGTAGCCATGTCAGGTTCCAAGCAGGGAGGGAGAGGTCAGGTTTGTGCTTTATGAAGACTCTCTGGCTACCATGAGGAGCAGACTTGATCAGGAAACCAGGGGAGGCAGAATGGGGATCTGGGTGGACCAGGATGGAAGGTGGTGCTGTGGTCAGAAGTATTTAGGAGGTACGAAGATTAGCTGGGTCTCTATTGTCCCCCTTTCTAAGAGGAGTAGAAACCTATGGAAATCTTTCATGGGGAAAAGTTTTTTTAAGTATCTGCTCAGAGCTGGGGAGTGTTAGTCATACCTCCCATGCTAGAGGCCAGCCAGAGCTTCAAGTTGTGATGGGGACAGGGAGACAGCGCCATCTGGGGGTTCCTCAGGAGTGCTGCTGATGAAGGAAGGGTGAGTATGCCCTGTGGCCCGAAGCCCCTTAGCAAAAGAGGCTGCCAACACCTCTTAAAAATTTTTTTATTATCAAAAAAAAATTTTTTTTAATTTATTATTTGATAGGACTTAGCATTCAAAGTACTTTTTTATTTCAAGTTTTTATTTAAATTCTAGTTAGTTAACACATGGTAAAATTGGTTTCCAGTGTAGAATTTAGTGATTCCTCATTTACATATAACACCCAGTACTCATCACAGTAAAAAAAAAAAAATATAGGGGTGTCTGGGTGGCTCAGTCAGTTAAGCATCCGACTCTTGATTTCAGCTCAGGTGGTGATCTCAGGGTCATGGGCTCAAGCCCCAAAGGGGCTCCAAGGTAGGGAGGTAGGGTTCTATGTTCCTCAGGGAGACTACTTGAGATTCTCTCTCCCTCTGCCCCTCCCCTTGCTTTCACTTGCTCACTCTCTCAAATAAATAAATCTTTAAAAAAAAAAGAGGGCAGCCCACGTGGCTCAGTGGTTTAAGCGACACCTTCGGCCCAGGGCCTGATCCTGGAGACCCAGGATCGAGTCCCGCGTCGGGCTCCCTGCGTGGAGCCTGCTTCTCCCTCTGCCTGTGTCTCTGCCTCTCTCTCTCTCTCAGTCATGAATAAATAAATAAATAAATCTTTAAAAGGAAAAAAAAGAAAAAAATTTTTTTAGTTGTGATAAAATATACAAACCAAAACTTATCTTAATTTTTAAGTATATAGTTCAATAGTGTTATGTGTATCAACATTATCGTGCAAACAGTCTTTCATCTTACAAAACTGGAAATCTATACCCATTAAACAACTCCCATTTTCCCCTCCCCACAGCCCCTGACAACCACCATTCCATTTTCTGTTTCTGTTTAAGTTTGACCCATTCCATGTTTTGTTTTGATTTGTTTTAATTAGTGGCCAATATTTAAAATTGGGATAATTGTGATTTAAGAAAACATTTCTAGCCTGTCTTGCAAAACCAAAACTATCTGGCTGACCATCAGGAAAGAGATGGCCAGATGGCACAGGATTTGAGGAAATGAGAAGGGGACAGTGGGGGGGGAGGGGCTTGGTGGCTATGCTGAGGCTGCAGCCTGACCCTGGAGCAAGGGCCAAGGTGTGAGAGGGACAGGAGAGAGAGATGGGGGTGGGGGGGGCTTCCTGGAGGAGGGAATGGGAGAGCAGAAGGCGCAAACTGAGACCTGGGAATGGAGTGGGGCGTTTATAACTGAACCCAAACATGAATGAGAAGTTGACAAAGAAAAGGATAAAGATTAGGTGCAATTGAACAAGAAAGAAGATTTGACAAAACCTTGCCAAGCACCAGGCTCTGTGCTCGGTGGAACTAGGGACCCAGGGGTGGTTGAGAAAAGCTCAGGACCTGCCCAGTGGGAGGATACAGACTTGTCCCCGTGAAGAAATGGCTACGGGTGGGACAACCCAAGGAGCTGAAGGGGGCCCAGAGGAAGTGGATGGATGGGAGGTCAGAGAGGGCTTCCTGGAGGAGGGGAAATCAGAGCTGAAACCAAATAAAGAAAGGGCTGGGAGAGAAGGGCCGTGCTGAGGATGGGAAGGGTGGGGGGATAGGAGGCTTCTGACAATCAGCTCCAGCCCCTCCTTTCGTTCTCCCCTCCTCCCCAGGATGCCCTGGAAGCCCAGCTAGGGCCGGTCTTTGGCCTCATGCGTCTCACCCGCTGCCAGGCTGCCCTGGCAGCCGCCATCACACTCAACCTCCTGGTCCTCTTCTATGTCTCGTGGCTGCAGCACCAGCCCAGGAACTCCCGGGCCCGGGGTCCCCGCCGTGGAGCTGCTGGCGGCCCCCGTGTCACCGTCCTGGTGCGGGAGTTCGAGGCCTTTGACAACGCGGTGCCTGAGCTGGTGGACTCCTTCCTGCAGCAGGACGCAGCCCAGCCGGTGGTGGTGGCCGCGGACACGCTCCCCTACCCGCCCCTGGCGCTGCCCCGCGTTCCCAACGTCCGCCTGGCGCTGCTCCAGCCCGCCCTGGACCGGCCTGCCGCAGCCTCGCGCCCCGAGACCTACGTGGCCACTGAGTTCGTGGCTCTGGTGCCCGACGGGGCGAGGGCCGACGCACCGGGCCAGCTGGAGCGCATGGTGGAGGTGCTCCGGGCGGGAGGGGCACGCCTGGTGGCCGCCCCCGTCGCCTCGGCCAACCCTGCCCGGTGCCTGGCCCTGAACGTCAGCCTGCGGGAGTGGACGGCCCGCTACGGCCCGGCCCCCTCCGCGCTCCGCTGCGATGCCCTGGACGGAGACGCCGTGGTGCTCCTGCGTGCCCGCGACCTCTTCAACCTGTCGGCGCCCCTAGCCCGGCCGATGGGCACCGGCCTCTTCCTGCAGACGGCCCTGCGCGGCTGGGCGGTGCAGCTGCTGGACCTGCCCTTCGGCGCGGCGCGCCAGCCCCCCCTGGCCACGGCCCACGCGCGCTGGAAGGCAGAGCGCGAGGGGCGCGCGCGGCGGGCGGCCCTGCTGCGCGCGCTGGGCATCCGCCTGGTGAGCGGGGAAGGCGGGCGCCTCGAGTGGTTCGGGTGCAACAAGGAGACCCCGCGCTGCTTCGGGACGGTGGTGGGCGACACGCCGGCCTACCTCTACGAGGAGCGCTGGACGCCCCCGTGCTGCCTGCGCGCGCTGCGCGAGACCGCCCGCTACGTGGTGGGCGTGCTGGAGGCGGCGGGCGTGCGCTACTGGCTGGAGGGCGGCTCGCTGCTCGGGGCCGCCCGCCACGGGGACATCATCCCATGGGACTACGACGTGGACCTGGGGATCTACCTGGAGGACGTGGGCAACTGCGAGCAGCTGCGGGGCGCCGAGGCCGGCTCGGTGGTGGACGAGCGCGGCTTCGTGTGGGAGAAGGCCGTGGAGGGCGACTTCTTCCGCGTGCAGTACAGCGAGAGCAACCATCTGCACGTGGACCTGTGGCCTTTCTACCCCCGCAACGGGGTCATGACCAAGGACACGTGGCTGGACCACCGGCAGGATGTCGAGTTCCCCGAGCACTTCTTGCAGCCTCTCGTGCCCTTGTCCTTTGCTGGCTTCGTGGCGCAGGCGCCTAACAACTACCGTCGCTTCCTGGAGCTCAAGTTCGGCTCCGGGGTCATCGAGAACCCCGAGTACCCCAACCCGTCGCTCCTGAGTTTGGCAGGAAGTGGCTGAGGCTCCAGCGCCCCGCTCCTGGGGTCTGGAGAACACTCATGCTCGGGGAGCGGTCCTTTGCTTTGGTGCCGCTGGCATTCGGTGGGCGGGCCGGGGATGCCAAGCTGCCCTGCGAGGCCCAGCACGGTCCTGGACGTCGAAGACCTGCCCTGCCCAAGATTCCCAAGAACTTGGGTTTGATTTAGAGCACGGACAGTTTTGTAAAGAGGAGAAAGTGTACGTGCTGCGGCCGGACTGCCGGATTAAAACCCCAGTTCTACCACTTACAGGTTACTCGGGCCTGAGGGAGAGCCCCAATTTCAAGGTGCGTAGGACCCCCCCAGGAACCGCTGCTCGCCCTTGCAGTGTCAGATCACAAAGAGCCCACAGGACATTTGGTTGCTGGGGTTGCTTCCGCCACTAGAGGGCGACTTCGTCCCGCTATGGCGGGACCTCAGCGCCCATAGCTTTTCCTAACTCTTGAGCCTTTGGTTTCTCTAATCCCCTGTACCTGGTGGGACAGGATGACTATGTCCCTTCTTTCAGAGTGCGACCTCCTTGCCTCCTGGGAGAGCCCTGTGAGGTGCATGCTGCTCTTAACTCCCATCTTACAGAGGAGGAGAAAGAAGCTCAGCCCTGAGCTGCAGCTCTGGCTAGGAACCGGGTCCTGGATGCCCGGCCCACTACTCCCTGTAACTGTTACCTCATTGTTTTAGCTCTCTGCTCCCAGTAGCCCACTTGCCAGGCGGGATAAATGGTAATCATAACGCACGTTACTCAGCACCATATGGTGTGCCAGGCACCTTCTCAGTATTCCACACAGATTAACTGGTTGATCATATTTCCATTTTACAGATGAGCAAACTGAGGCCAGAATGGTAGTCATTTGCCCAAGGCCAGACAGCTTAGGAAGTGACAGAGCAGGGACCTGAACCCAAGCAGTCTGGAGCCCACACTAAGTTGGATACTATGCAGGTGTCTCAGAATGGTCTGTGAGACCGGGCCCCAGGAGGCCGTACTACCTAGCAGGTGAAGCCATGATGGCCTATCTTTTGTGATCATGCACCTAAGGCTAAATGCTCTTTGGGCAAGTATCCTGAATATGTGTATTTACTTATAAATTATATACAGATACTGCTATCATTCTATAGATTAGTAATGAGGCCTAAATTATTCCATTTTAAAATTTAAAATAAATATGGACGTTTTTTATTTGGGTCATCTCAGTGACTTGTCCCACACACTCCCTGGGTGTGGACACTCTAGCTTTTGGGACCACAGGCTCTGAGGTGGGAGAGGCCTGGGGTCAAAACCCAGTGCTACCACTTTCTCTCAGTGCGAACTGAGAGGCAGTGACTCTGCCTCTCTGAACCTCAGCTTTGCACTGGGAAATGGGGATAATGAGCGTTTACCCCACAGGGATGTCGTGAGGCACTTGAGTGGTAAAGGGGTCAGGAATCAAGCCTGGGTTTGACTCTTGAAATGGCCACTTATTTTGTGTGATCTTAGACAAGTCACTGCCTCTTCAAACCTATAGCTTGGGCTGGGGGGATGGGTGATATTGCAGAAATGTGAAGCCCTTGGAAGAGGAGGCTTTGCAGACCAGCAGGAGAAGATAAATGCAAATTTGGCCCAAGCTCCTGAGGCTCACTTCCAAAGGCCAACTTCTTAGGACACAACCTCTGTTTTTAGCCACTGGACCCCGCAAATGGCTCCCAGGGACTGTTGGGTTTCCATGGAGCATTCTGGAAACATATGGGGATGATTTTGGTTATCACTGTGACCGGGTGGTGCTTTTGGCTCTTGGGAGGCATAGCCCAGGGATGGAGATGTCCTAATAAGCAAAGCATCTCCACACACTAAAGCATTGTCCCTTGTCACATACAGTTTTAAAATGTCCCATTGGACATTCATGAAGGATGTTGATATTCAAAATATTTTGCAACTGGCACGGTGATAGAAATTAATATATACGTCAATATATGCATCAAAACGTTTAAATATGTCTTTTTTTATTCTCTAAAGAATGGAAACTATCTCTCTCTATATATATATTTCTTTAAATTGTTTGCCAAAAACATAAGCTGATGCTCAAATCATTCTGAAATCATGCGATCATTTTGTTTTATTTAGAAATTGTTGGTGTGGTTTCTTCAATGATATGCTATATATATACGTATATATATACATATATATATACGTATATATATACACACATATATTCATTAATTTAATTACTTTATTTATTATATAAAATATATATATAAATAACCCTGCCTTAGCCGTGATTTGATAAGAGAACCACATCAGGTTCTTCTGGCAATTTCCCATTAAACTAAGTGCCATTTAGGTGACCTGGGGTCTCAGTAGATAAAGAATTTCTCTTAGCACCACCCATAGTGTTTTCTCTTCTCATCATTGTTCCTGAACTAACAACAATTACACTAGAAACTTGAATAGCCTTCATAATACTTCCTGATAGCTTTGTGTGTTCAGTATCTTAATTGTGTTCAGTATCTTAATTATCATTAGGTAATAATACAACAGAAAACCTATTGCAACAATTAACTTGAATTAATGAGTTTATATTAGGATATGTATTACTGAATTTTAGTGCTTTCTCAATTACTCTTGTATGATGAGCCAGCCAGAACAGAAGTATTTTGATATTGTAAAAACGAGCACCTCCGGACTAGTGCATACTAACCAAATTTTAACCTCACTTGGAAAAACCCAGTTAAGAATTATCTGAACCGGGGGATCCCTGGGTGGCGCAGCGGTTTGGCGCCTGCCTTTGGCCCGGGGCACGATTCTGGAGACCCCGGATCGAGTCCCACGTCGGGCTCCCGGTGCATGGAGCCTGCTTCTCCCTCTGCCTATGTCTCTGCCTCTTTCTCTCTCTCTCTGTGTGACTATCATAAATAAATTAAAAAAAAAAAAATTAAAAAAAAAAAAAAAAAAAGAATTATCTGAGCCGGGATGCCTGGGTGGCTCAGCAGTTGGGTGGCTGCCTTCCGCTTAGGTTGTGATCCTGGGATCCGGGATCAAGTTCCGAATCGGGCTCCTGCATGGAGCCTGCTTCTCCACTCTCTGCCTATGTCTCTGCCTCTTTCTGTGTGTCTCTAATAAATAAATTAATTAAAAAAAAAAGAATTATCTGAGTCCAGGGGCCCCTGGCTGGCTCAGTTGGAAGAGCACTCAACTCTTGATCTCAGGGTTGTGAGTTCGAGCCCCATGTTAGGTATAGAGATTACTTAAATAAATACAAAATAGATAAAATTTTAAAATTAAAAAAATATGTCTAGGGCAGCCCAGGTGGCTCAGTGGTTTACCGCCGCCTTCAGCCCAGGGTGTGATCCTGGAGACCTGGGATCGAGTCCCATGTCAGGCTCCCTGCATGGAGCCTGCTTCTCCCTCTGCCTGTGTCTCTGCCTCCCTCTCTCTCTGTGTGTCTCTCATGAATAAATAAATAAAATCTTAAAAAAAAAATGTCTAAGCCCAGAACCTAATTCTGTCTTCATGCAAACACAAAGTCCTTTTTATAAGGTTTTAATAGGTCCTAAATTTTCCTGTAAGGGCAACTACTGAGTGAAATGAGGGAAGCTTATATTGTGTTTTGTATAAAACTCAGCCAGGGATTGTCAATAATTTCCAAAAGTCATGTTCCACATAGCTTTTGATAATTAGACATTGGAGACCATGTGTTTCCAGCTGTGTTGGGAGCTGCCTACATTATCCGTGTAAACATCTGGCTATTTCCTTGGGTTTGGGGGAGGTGGCCCTACAGTTTACATATTGAAATTTATATTATAAGTTATCATTTTATTTCTCTTTTTTTGGTTACAGTTAGGGCAATATAGAGATTTTTTTTTTAAAGATTTATTTATTTATCCCTGAGAGACACACAGAAAGAGGCAGAGACACAGGCAGAGAGAAGCAGGCTCCTCGCAGGAGCCCAATGCGGGACTTGATCACAGATTCCGGGATCACGACCTGAGTCAAAGGCAGCTGCCCAACCGCTGAGCCACCCAGGTGTCCCTAGAGATTGTTTTTAAAGTCATGTACAGTGGCCTCCAGCTGGCTCAGTCAGAAGAATATGTGACTTTTGATCTCAGGGTCGTGAGTTCAAGCCCCACATTGGGTGTAGAGATTACTAAAAAAAAATAAATAAATAAACTTTAAAAAAATAAAATCATGTGCAGATGGGCATCTGCATATTATCTGAGAACTTCATTTCAGCAAAGCCAAGAGGATGTTCCTCGAGCTGACATTCAAGCCAGCACATGCAGTGGTATGCAGTGATTATCATAAAACATGAAAATATTACATGATAGATAACTGATCTGTTGGTAAACAGTCATCACCATGAGCTCCCTATTACTACCCCCCTGGCTCTCCCCTCCCACCACCCCAGCAGCCAAAGGGTTAACTGGGCATATCTGGAGGGAAGGGGGTTACTGTCTCAAATGCTGTTGGATGCACTGCTCCCTTTACCAATCAGTAAATATTGGTATCTCCTCCCTGGGCACTATAAATATTTGCTGGATGTGGATGGCAAGCAAAGACCTGCATACCTATGCTCCTTTATATACAATAGCCCCAAACTGCTGCTTCTCCCTCCTCCTGTGTCTCTGCCTCTCTCTCTCTCTCTCTCTCTCTCTCTCTCTCTCTCTCTCTCTCTATGTCTATCATAAATCAATCAATCAATCTTTTTGTTAAAAAAAAAGGGGGGGGGATCCCTGGGTGGCTCAGCGGTTTAGTGCCTGCCTTTGGCCCAGGGCACGATCCTGGAGTTCCGGGATCGAATCCCACGTCGGGCTCCTGGCATGGAGCCTGCTTCTCCCTCCTGTGTCTCTGCCTCTCTCTCTCTCTCTCTACGTCTATCATAAATAAATAAATAAATAAATAAATAAATAAATAAATAAATAAATCTTAAAAAAAAAATAGCCCCAAACTGGAAATGCCCCAGTGTCCATTTCAGGTGAATGGATAAACAAACTGGTGCACCCAGACAGTGGAACACTTGTGATTAAAAACAAAAAGGAATAAATGGAGGACGCCTGAGTGGCTCAGCGGTTAAGCATCTGCCTTCCAGCTCAGGGCACGAGTCCTGGAGTCCCCGGGTGGATTCCCGCATCTGGCTCCCTGCTTCTCCCTCTGCCTATGTCTCTGCCTCTCCCTGTGTGTGTCTCTCATGAATAAATAAATCTTTTTTAAAAAAAGGAATAAACGGATGTGTGCAAAAACATGACTAAATCTCAAAGGCATGATGCTAAAAGAAGCAGGACGCAAAAGCTACCTGCTAGAGGATTCCACTAATGCGAAATTCTAGGAGCAACAAACTAATCCTCAATGACCAAAAGTGGGTCAGTGGTTGCCTGGGCCTGAGGGTGGAAAGGGATAGAATGCAAAGGAGCACCAGGATATTTGGAGGTGGTTGGGAATACTGTGGATCTTAATTGTGGTTTTCACTAATTATTCATCTGTCGATTTTATCCAATTGCCTGCTTTAATGGATGCAGTTTATTATATGCAAATTATACCTTGATAAAGTTCACCATCTCCCCCTTCCCCCCCAAAAAAAACAAAGCAGATTGGGGGAGGGAGTCGAACAGGCCTAGAAATATTGTTGAGGAGAGACAAAGCTATCATCACCCTGTGCCTGTCAGCCTCTGTCCTGTTACTGAGTCTAGAATGCAAGTCCAAGCCCAAGGCAGGGCTAGTGTGAGCACAACCCCCAAGCCAGGCTCCTTTGAAGAAGATAGAAGGGGAGAGGGCTCAAAAACCGGTGGATGGAGCAATGAAGTAAGGGAGAGAAAGGTGGGAGGAGGGCCCCAGAGGGTGGCCATCCAGGTGCTTTTCCTCTTTTTTTTTTTTTTTTTTTTAAGATTTTATTCATCAGGGATCCCTGGGTGGCGCAGCGGTTTGGCGCCTGCCTTTGGCCCAGGGCGCAATCCTGGAGACCCGGGATCGAGTCCCACGTTGGACTCCTGGTGCATGGAGCCTGCTTCTCCCTCTGCCTGTGTCTCTGCCTCTCTCTCTCTGTGACTATCATAAATAAATTTAAAAAAATTAAAAAAAAGATTTTATTCATCAATACGTGAGAGACGCAGAGACATAGGCAGAAGGAGAAGCAGGCTCCCTGTGGGGAGCTGGATACAGACTTGATCCCAGGATCACAACCTGAGCCAAAGGCAGATGATCAACCAGAGCCACCCAGGTGCCCCTCCTTCTGCTCTTATGTAATCTTCACCAGTGTTCTTTGGGTGAGGCATAACAGAGCCATTGTCATGAGACTCCGTAGTGCTTATACAAGGTGACATAGCCTGCAGGTAGCAGAAGCAGGATCTCAACCAGGGGAACAACCTCTTCTAGCCAGGCAGCTCTGTGGCTGGAGCTCAGTTCATTCATTCTGCAAATATTTATTGAATGCTTACCCTGTGCTGGGCCCCATGCTGTGCTCTGGGCTTACAGTGGTGAAAAGGACAGAGGTGGCTCCCTCATGTGAGTGCGCGTCCCAGTGGGGACTGGGTCTGGGAGCCCCTGTCCACACTCATGAGACTTGAAATGGTTCCAGACTATTAATATTACCCAGATCAGCATCTTACGCAAATTAGTGACATGTACCCAGCAACTTTTAAAAATGAAGTAGATGGGATCCCTGGGTGGCGCAGTGGTTTGGCGCCTGCCTTTGGCCCAGGGCGCGATCCTGGAGACCCGGGATCGAGTCCCACATCGGGCTTCCGGTGCATGGAGCCTGCTTCTCCCTCTGCCTGTGTCTCTGCCTCTCTCTCTCTGTGACTATCATAAATAAATAAAAATTAAAAAAAAAAAATGAAGTAGAAAAAAAAGCGGAAATACTGTTCTGTGTGTGGAACTTGGCCGAGTTATGGATTTCCTCATATGTATACATTGTGTAATAGCATATGCAATATATTAGATGCGTGTGTGTATCTCCTTAAATAGGCATCCTTCATTATCCAAATCTAATCCATTTCCCAAAAGCATTAAATAGAAAATTTGAGGATAAACAACTATTTTAAGTGGGGAAAATAATGCATTCCCAGCTCCTTCCAAAAACCCCAACCAATATCCCCAAATAACATTAAAACTCTTCAACACTTTTATAACCACCCACCAAGGATTTTGGCATAATAGAAAGCATTGAAAACACCAATTACTTCATTATTCAACACTTAATGAACTCATTAGTGGTTATGTTTGTGTGCAATACACAATTTTACACAGAACCCGATATGAATTATTTCCCCTCCACACTGCAATGATCATGAGATGGAACTAAACAAACTAAAAAAAAAAAAAAATGCTGAAGATACTCAAGATATCATCTACAATTGTGGACTCAGATTGATGGTGCCTCCAGGCACCTGGCAGTCTACATAGAGCCCTGGGAAGGGCGAGATAATGATCAGTAATGTGCAGCATGTCTCAGCAACGTACAGGACAGGATCTACAACAGGTGAGCCGCAATTGGTGTCACCCACATCCTGGACTCAAACAGGACTTAGAAGAGGTCATACAGCGTATTTTTATGAAACAGCAAATTCTGGGTTTAAAAAGGGGGGGATGGGCAGCCCGGGTGGCTCAGCGGTTTAGCGCAGCCTTCTGCCCAGGGCATGATCCCGGAGACCCAGGATCCAGTCCCAGGTTGGGCTCCCTTCAAGGAGCCTGCTTCTCCCTCTGCCTGTGTATCTGCTTCTGTGTCTCTCATGAATAAAAGAAAAGAAATGGAACATTTGCTAGTTCATCAAGTTTCCCTGTGCCCCTTCCCGGGGAAACTTCCCAGTTTCCCTAAGCCCCCACCCCCCCCCCCCAGGTCATCTGTTTGGATTTCTCACTATAAACCAGTTTTGCCCATTCCAGACCATCATATAAATGGAACTGTACAGCATGAGCAGTTTCCAGCAACTTTCACTCAAATGTTATCCGTGGGATGCATCCAGATTGAAAGATCAGACTTTTTTTTTTTTTTTTTTTTTGCTGAATGGCCATCCATCACAGGAAGGATGATATATCATCCATCCTGATATATCAATTGACTCATTTCCAAATTTTGGCAATTTGTGGAAAGTGCAGCTATAGACATTTGTGTAGTGGGCTTTGGGTGAGCAGTTTTCTTTTCTCTTTGGTAAGTGGGACTCTTGAAGCTGTTTAGTAAGGGTAACTATGGTAACTTGATAAAAAACTGCCCAGGGACTTCCCAAAGGGTCTGGACCGTTAAGTATTCCCATCAGCGGTGCATGGGGCTCTGTTCCGCTGCTTGGCTTCCCCGGCCACGCTTTGTACTTGCTTTTTGCCACTCCAACAGATGTGCGCAGTGCTAGCTCATCACGGATTTTTCCCAATGGTGTTTTGGATGAACATTTTATCTCAATGCAGTCCTATTTATCATGTTTGTTTTTTCTGTGTAGCTCATGCTGTTTGTCTTAAAAACATCTGAGGAGATATACTTGACAATTTTATTGCTCAAAAATGTCCTTTGGAGTGACAGCAGTCTTTGTCCTTGCGCCCCCACCCCCACCCCAGGAGGGTCCCCTGGAGTGTTTGTTACTGTAGAAGGAACAGAGGTCCTGGGGACAGGGTGGGATTACTGTAGAGTCACCAGACACACACACACACACACACACACACACACACACACACACACACACTCAACCACAAAAATGACCAGCAAAGGAGCCAGCTACCCATTGGAATATCCTTTCCCTCAAAGAGGGCAGAAATCCACATGGTGACCTGTGCCCTGTGCCCTGTAATAATGTCCAGAAGGACATTACTACACTAATTCTCCATCTTTGTTTCCTAGCCTTGGGTGGGAATGGGAATTGAGAACTGGGGAAGATTTGGTGAGAGACACACACATACACATACACCCCAGCACTGAGGCCTCCCAGATCTGATGTTGGTGGAGGAGGCAGGGGGAGAGGCTGGAGCCTCTGGATGTCCTGAGTGTGCAGGAGGGCCTCCAGAGCCCCAGTTTGTGATCGCAATATCCAGAGTGCCCCAATCAGGGTAGGGAAAGTCCCTGTGGGGTTTACATAACTGATTCCTTTTCGCAGGGGTCCGCATCCCCGGCAGGTCTTGGACACTGTTTGAGGAGAGGGTTCCCCTCTTCAGTGGGGACAGGCAGTGGAGACAGGGGCGTCTCACTCTTCACTTGGATCAGCTCTGGCACCGAGCTCCGCAATTCTGTGCGATCCACATAGTTTTGGAGGAGTCCTGCACCAAAGGCATCACCTTCCACATTGAGGACAGTACAGGACCGGTCTCTGAAGGGGCAGGAGTGACAGGGAAGTGAGTGGGAGGGGAGAGGGTAGTGTCCAACCCCCACTTCTCCCCCCACAAAACTAGGAGTCCCAATCACATCTTCCTTCATGGGACGTTGTTATACTCCTAGACTCAGCTTATCCCTCCATCCTTCCAGGATGCCAGATAACCCTTCTTAGAATCTCAAAGATGGGGATGCCTGGTGGCTCAGTGGTTGAGCGTCTGCCTTTGGCTCAGGTCATGATCCCAGGGTCCTGGGATCGAGACCCGCATCAGGCTTCCCAGAGGGAGCCTGCTTCTCCATCTGCCTATGTCTCTGCCTCTCTCTGTGTGTCTCATGAATAAAAATAAATAAATAAAATCTTAAAAAAAAATAAAAACAACACCTCAAAGATCTTTTCACCCAGAATCCAATGAGCCCCCTACCTCTCTTCTTTCCTATGGAATCCCAAAGTATGCCATTATACTCTCTCTTTCTCAGAACCCCAAAGATTTCCTCCTCCAACCTCCCAGAAACCCAAACAATTCTTCCAATAAGATACAAAATTTGCTTCTCCTGGAACATCAAAAAGTCACTCCACCCTTTTCTTGGGGACTCAGAAGACCTATCCCACTTCTCCTCTTCCCCTCGAAATACTTTCTCACTCGGGCCTTTCTCTTTATAATACAAGATCTCTTTTTGCTTTCTCCTTATACTTTGTGGCCATTTGAGAAAATTGAGCTATAGGGCACATACCATAAAATTCACCCTTTAAAAGTATACAATCCAGAGGCACCTGGGTGGCTCAGTCAGTTGAGCGTCCAACTCTTGATTTCGGCTCAGGTCATGATCTCAGGGTTGTGAGATCGAGCCTGCCTTGGGCTCTGTGCTGGGCGTGGAGCCTGCTTACAATTCTCTCGCCCTCTCCCTCTTCTCCTCCCCCTCCACTCCCCTCCACCCCAGTGTTTTTTAGTATATTCAGAGTTGTACGACCATCACTGCTATTTAATTCCAGGATGTTTTCATCACTCTAAAAACACTCCCACACCCACCAAGCAGTTATCTCCCATTCCCTCCTCTCCAGCCCCTGGCAACTGCTAATCTACTGTCTGTCGATTTGCCTATTCTAGGCATCACATAGAAATGGATTCATAGGATATGTGGTCTTTTGTGTCCACCTTCTTTCACTTAGCATGAGGTTTTCAAGGGCTCACCATGTGGTAGCGTCTATATATGTGTCTGTGCTTCATTTCACTTTATGGCTGAATAATATTCCATTGTTCTGGATATATGATATTTTATGTATCCATTCATCAGTTGATGGACATTGGGTTGTTTCTACCTTTTTGCTATCACGAATAACGCCACTATGAATGTTCATGTACAAGTTTTTGTGAATATGCTTTCAACTCTCTTGGCATTATACCTACGAGTGATGTGGCTGAGAAACAGTAACTCTTGTTTTAAACTTGTGAGACCAAACTTTTCCAATCGTTAATGCTCTTAATAGCACAACGGTGATTGCCAACAATGACACAGCATTAACTGCTTACCAGGGGCTCTTATAATGGAGTTACATGTTTATGTCATCTGATCCTCAAGGAGAGGCTAGTCCCTCCCTTTTACAGATGGAGAAACTGAGATAAGAAAGATGAAGTACTCAAGCAGGGTCATAAGGGCTAGCAGAGGTGGCACTAGGATTTGAACACAAGCAGCCTGGCCTAAGAGTCTACTCTTCACCACTAGGGCACACTCTCTCTGGGATTCTTCTTAGATTAAAAAAAAAAAAAAAAAATAGAGACCCCCCCCCCCCAAGATCCCTTCCTTCTCTCTGACTAGAAGGATCAAGATATCACCCCTTCTTCCTCTCCTCTTCTGACTCCCTCTCAATGACCCTCTTGCTCAATCCCCTTTTCCCAGGGATACCCATTAGGCTCCCAAAGCCCCAGACCCACACTTACACTAGCCAATCCACAGCCAGGATCAAGGAGATGTCCTGAACGGGCAGACTGACTGCCTCCAGGATGATGGCCAGAGTGAGGACCCCTCCAGCGGGAATGCCAGCGGCACCCACACTGGACGCCGTGGCGGTGACCCTGGGGGAAGCGAGGGGAGGTCAGGGTCAGAGGCCTTGGTAGCTAACGGGAGAAGCTGTCACGGGAGCCCTGCTCCCACGGGAGCCCGGCGTGCACTCTCAGGAGAGGGGGTCAGACGGGCCGGGGGTCCCTATGGCCGCCGCACCCACACTCACAGGATGGTGATGATCTTCACAAAGTCCAGGGATCGCCGGTTGAGCTGTGCAATGAACACTGCGGCCACACACTGGAAGAGCGCCGCACCATCCATGTTGACGGTGGCACCGATGGGTAGGATGAAGCGGCTGATGTGCTTGGCGACACCATTCCTTTCCTCCACGCACTTCATCATCAGAGGCAGCGTGGCCGAGCTGGGGCGGGAGGGGGGTGTGGTGTCAGCGCAGCCCCACCCCCATGAAGCCCCGCCCAGCCCACACCCACAGGCCAAGCAATGTATGCCCAGGCCCCGCCCACTACCACAAACCCCGCCCCATGCCGAAGCCCCGCCCAACCACACCCACTGGCTCCACCCACAGCTCTCCCCAGCTCTCCATGCCCTTCTCCTCCCAGAGCCAGCGGCACCCAGGGTCCTGCAGAATGCCTGCATTCCATAATTTATGAGTCTTGGGCCCCTTGGGAGAGTACAGACTGCTGTCCTTCAAAATACACACAAAAATGCCAACCTAATTTCTACAATGCTTAGGAGCTCACTGACCCACACCCCCTCCCTGCTCTACCAATAATGGACCTCCACCAATAACAGGCTTCTGTGGGATGCTGCTGTGCGGGAGGGCCGGGTTCTGAGGACACAGGTGGACAAAATACCTAGAAGAGGGTGGAAAGGGCTCCCAGAGGTTGGATCCAGGGAGCGCTAGACCACTACCCACCGCTCCCCCAGGGCCAGGCCTTGTCGGGGAGGAGAAATTCTCAGGAAGGGAAGAAGAAATCTCTAACCCAGTGGTTTTCTAATGGGGGAGGTGGGGGGACGTTGCTGGACCTTATCAGAAACTCACAAAAGTATGGCCTCTGTATCCAGATCCAGTGTCCCCAAACACAAAATTTCAAGGGTCTACAGATATCTGATGCCCACTTCAGGCCCCTTAGTTTAAAAATCCCGGACTAGTCTGCCCCAAGGCCATACCTAGAAGAGGTGCCAAAGGCAGTGGCCAGCGCTGTCATGATGCCCCACAGAAAACGGTAGGGGTTTTTGCGGGTGAAGATGAAGTAGATGAGGGGCAGCACGAGGAGCCCATGGATGGCGTGGCCCAGCAGGCAGCACAGGATGTATTTGCCGAGACCAGCGAAGAGCATCCCCACATCCTCCATCTCCACAATCTTGCCAGCCACCAGGAACAAGATGCCCACAGGGGCATACCTAATTGCAGGAGACAGATTACAGCCTCTGACCATGTGCCATCCGGGAGGACCAGGCTTTGTGCTCAGTACACAGCCTGATCACAGCCTCCCTCGAGGGCAAGAAACACCCAGAGCAGTGTGTGCTGAAGCTCTGGCACATTCCCTGCCACCGTCCCAGCTCTTTCCCCTTGAAAATAGTACAGCAGGGACAAAAGAAGCCTGGAGGCTTCTATCGCCATTTGCCAGATTTGGACTTAACACCTGACCTCCAGGGGCACCTAGGTGGCTCAGTGATTGAGTGTCTGCCTTCGGCTCAGGTCATGATCCTGAGATCGAGTCCCGCATCAGGTTCCCCGCAGAGAGCCTGCTTTTCCCTTTGCCTATGTCTCTGCCTCTCATGAATAAATAAATAAAATCTTAAAAAAACAAAACAAAATAACCTGACCTCCATGAGTGAGTCATTTACATTTCCCGGGTTTGTTTGTTAAAGCAGCTAGGATGATTTAAACCAATATAATCTCTCACCACATCATGAGAAATGAAGTCTGTGGCTCATGTCTTAATAACAGCCCACAGATATGAAGCATTTATGATGGGCCGAGTGAGCCCTTGAACATGAATGAATCTTTACCACAATCCCACAAATGCTCCTCTGTAGCTATAGTTGAATTAAAATCTAATAGGTCTGTAAAACAGGGACTTTAAGGCTACTGGCCTCATAGGAATGTTGGAGGAAATGAGGTGCCAGGTGAAGTGACTTGAAAGCTCTTTGTACACAATAAGTCATCTATAAACTTCTGCTGGAATTATTATCACCCTTTCCTGGAGTAAAGCTCCCAGGGGTGCTCATGTCTCCCAGCTAGGGGGCCTCCCCAGACTGCCTCCCGGTTTGATCATGATGGCTGTCTCCCAAATCCCTTCATATCTTTGGGTAACAGAAGAAAGGGCCCATTTCCCAGCCACCTGTGCAGCTAGTTTTGGCCAAATGCCCAAGCTCTGGCCAGTGGGTTGTGCCTAGAAGTTATACAAGTGACATACTTGATAAATATTAGCTGATACTATTTATTATTATAGGTCAGGTGGTGTCCCAAGAACTTTACACTCATTTGTGGCTGGTACTATCAGTCCCATTTTCCAGGTAGGGAAACCAAGGCAGACTGAGATAAGTAACTTGTTCTAGGGCACACAAGTGGGAAGAGGCAAGGGGCCTGCTCTTAACCACTACCCTGACTCTCTGGCAGAGTGCACTCAATTCTGCACAGCAGTTTCTTAGATGTCAGGGGAGGGGGATAGGATTGGTCAAAAACGCAGCAAACCTGGCATCACTCTGACTTCCCACCTTCCAGAACTATGGTAGGTCCTGAGAATCAGCGTGGGATGATGTGAAGAGGAGGCTGGGAAAGAGCAGGGTGGAAGCCAGAGGCCTGCGTGTGTGTGTGTGTGTGTGTGTGTGTGTGTGTGTGTGTCCCTGTTATCTGAGGTTTAACAAAATTCATAATGATAATCAGCTAACATTAAGTAAATGCTCAGGAGGTGCTAAGCATTTAAAACACTTTACAAGTGCTTTACCTAGACCTCCTATTACTCATGTCGTCTTCATGATAACTCAGATGTTTGATCACATGCAAATTTCTTCAATGGAAAAAAAATAATAATACTAATAAAATTTTCTTCAGTGGAGATGCATTTGTTAAGCTGTGGCCACAGCTCAGCTGGCTTCTTGTTACCTTCTAAGAGGACTGAGAGGGGATCCCTGGGTGGTTTAGCAGTTGAGCATCTGCCTTCAGCTCAGGGCATGATCCTGGAGTCCCAGGATCAAGTCCTATGTCAGGCTCCTTCATGGAGCCTACTTCTCCCTCTGCCTGGGTCTCTGCCTCTCTCTTTCTTTCTTTCTCTCTCTCTCTCTCTCTTTCTGTCTCTCATTAATAAATAAATAAAATCTTTAAAAAAAAAAAAAGAGGATTGAGAAGGTGCTCAATTGGTCTCTGTTCCCCTGTAATACAGCATTGTCCTATCCTCATCTTCTTTTTTTTTTTTTTTTTTTTTTTTTTTTTTTTTTAAAGATTTTTTATTTATTTATTCATGATAGTCACACAGAGAGAGACAGAGTGGCAGAGACACAGGCAGAGGGAGAAGCAGGCTCCATGCACCGGGAGCCCGACGCGGGACTCGATCCCGGGTCTCCAGGATCGCGCCCCGGGCCAAAGGCAGGCGCCAAACCGCTGCGCCACCCAGGGATCCCCTATCCTCATCTTCTAATGAAGAAACTGAGGCACAGACAGGGTAGGTCACTTGCTCAAAGTCACACAGCTGGCAATGGGCAACACTTGGTGTGAATCCAGGCCGTGTGGCTCTGAGGAACAAATGGAAGGTTGCCCTATCCCACATCCTACTGCTCCCCCACACCCCTCCCACCACCTACCACATGATCCAGGAGACCAGCACCATGGTGGCATCATTAAAGGAGTTGAAGAAGCGGATGAGCAGCTCTCCCTCAGGCCCCAGCTTCCGCAGGGCCACACCAAGGACAATGGCAAATACCACCAGGCCCAGAATGTTCATACTCTCCACCTCCTCCCCAATGGGCACCTTTGGGCAAGGAACAGAGTGGGAAGGAAGGGAGGATGCTCAGTCAACTCGCACAGTCTCTAAGGGCCTGTCTGGGGCCTTGCTGGGACCCAACGCAGACAAGACAGCTCCTGGAGCTCATTTGTCTCTTCCTCCCAAGGCTCTCAGTCTGGGTCCAGGAGAAATAGACCTGTCACCAGAGGCCAGCCAGAGTGACTGGAGAATGGGGAAACCCAGGGGAGTGTGGGAACTGAGGGCGGATGCCAGCTTCGGGGAAGGGGCCAGGAGGAAGGAGTCCGGGAGGCCTTTGTGGAGGAAGAGGCCGAGAGATCTGGAGAACAAGAGGACTGACCAGGTAAAGACAGGTGGCAGAAGGTTCGGGAGAGGGGAAACAATGTGCATCAGTCTGGAAATGAGAGAGCCTTGGGCACTCAAGGGACAGAGAGAAATCCACTGTGGCTGGGATAGGCCAGCCAGAGCTAAAACACGAGGCTGGGTGGGCAGCTGGGCAGAAGCCTGACATCGCAAGGCCTCACGGATTGGAGCAAGGAGCCTGGGCCTTCTTCCGAGGGCCGTGGGGAACATAAAGGGGCCCTGGGTAGGGGGCGAGACAGGGTCAGGTTTGTGCTTTGGAAAGAATACGTTGTGCCAGGTTGAGGGTAGGTGGGTGAGAGGGAGCTGCAGGGGGAAGGTAACTGGACAGGGGGCAGGGGCAGGTGAGGTGGGAGCAGAAGAGAAGCCTGGACCAGGGAGCAGGGGGCAAAACAGAGAAACCAGAAACCAGACGGTGGCTACTGAGAGTATAAAATAAGTACCACCAAGTGTCAGAAGCCCCAGGGAGCAAACCCAGACTGGGGTGGGAACAGAATGGAAAAACCCCAAATGGGCAAATGGATGGGGCCCCACCCCCCTTCCCCTGCTCTCACCTTCACCATGGTTCCGTTGATCCATCTGTGTTCATAGGTGGTACTGTACTGCAGGTGGGGGTGGACAAGAGTCAGTATCAATTGCCACCAAGGCTCCCCCACTCCATCCTGGCACTAACAGTGCTCAAAGCCGGCCCTAAGCACCCCCCAAATACAACCAATCGCCTTGCATCCTACCTGGAACCCCGCTGAGGCAGGATGTTCATACCATATGCCTGTTTTCCAGAGGCGGAAACTGAGGCTCAGAGAGGAAAAGGCACTTGCCCAGGATCACAAAGCTTGAATTAGAACCCGGATGGGGCTCAGAAACCATAGTCTCCTTTCTCAATTAGGAGAATTAGGCATGGATGGTTTCAGAGGCTACCCTAGAACCCTAAAATCCCATTCATAAATGCAGGGGCACATCTGCTTTTCCAGGCACCACCCAAAAGCAGGTGCCTAGGGGCTGCCAGGGGCTGTGTCCCTCCCTGCCCGCCCCCACCCCTCGGGACATACCCCCAAGGACTCACTGAGCGGAAGGCTGCGGACACCAGGTTGGAGGGGAAGATATTTCTGTAGAGACAGACAGGGAGGGGGGCATGTTATTAAAAGCCACAAGGGGGAGTTGGGGAGGGGTGTGAGGGACTGAATTGGCCTCTTGGGATGGAAGCAAACTTGGGAGGCCCCATTGGCACCCAAATGTGGTCCCCACCTATGCCTCAGGCCAGGTGTGTTCAGGTAGACCTGAGCCCTGACCTGCACACTTTTCCAGGAGGTAGAGAGGCTGGCATGCTAGGCCCAAGGGATTGTGGATTGAAGGTGAGGAATGCTGGCCTCCCAAGGCAGGCTGGGGCAGTCACCGGGGCCTCAGCTCCACCCCAGGGAGCAAACTTAATACCCAGAGCATCTTGCATCAGCCACTTCCTCCTGCAGGGCTGAGAAACCCTTTGGCCCTGGGGGCCTTGGGGCCGGTCTGAGTGGGTCAGAGGGTTTGGGGAAGGTCTGGGTGCCTCCGAAAGAGGTAGAGAGAGAGAGACAAGGGATGGCTGTGTGTGTCATGAATGTGTATCTGTGCAGCAGCACACATTAAACCCCACTGAGCCGGTCAGGGAGCTGAACAACAGCCTCTTGTGTCTCAACAGCCTCTTGGTTCTGAGTGGGATGAAAGTTACAGCAAATGGGTCTGTAGTCTCCCCTGTGGTGCGTGACATAAATCCACTCACTTATTTTTATTTTGTATTTTTTAAATAGGCTCCACGCCCAGCTTGAACTCACAACCCTGAGATCAAGACCTGACGGATCAACACCAAGGCAAGCGCCCCTAAATCCACCCATTTAATCCTCCTGACAACACCCTTTCCTCCCCATTTTCTAGAAAAGAGAACCAAGGCACGAAAAGGGAAAGAAACTTGCCCAGCCAGGAGATAGCCAAGCTGGGATTTGAACCCAGCCAGCTGTCTGCGTGGTTCTAACCACGCCGTGTTCTGGAGTCCTCCCTCCCTAGTGATGTGGTGAACAGCTGTGTTGTGGGCCTGTATACAGTTTCTCAAGCATTGGTATCCGGTTGGGGGTGCAGGTTCGTGTTCAGATATGTGGGACAGAGCTGGGTATGTTCGTGGTCTTGAGCATGAATGTTTGGGCAACTCTCGCTGCACTGGTGTAGTTATTGGCATCAGTGAGTGGCTGTGTAAAGGGATGTTAGTATACCGCGTGCGCGTGTGTGTGCGTGTGTGAGAGTGAGAGAGAGAGAGAGAGAGAGAGGTCCCATCTGTGGCTGAGTGTCTGAGTGTCTGAGTGCCTGTGTCCAGCTGTGTGTCAACTGGCTATAAAGTTGTGTGGCTCTGAGATGTTCCAGCTAAGTCTCCGAGGAGCTGGCCTAGTGTGCGTGTTACTTCTATTTTGGCACAAGGGGAAGCCTGTGCACATCAACAGCCTCCCAGTGGGTGTGTCCACTGGCCAGTAGGCCTATACCCACCCAGGCCCGGCAGCGCTGGATCAGAACCCAGCTAATCTCCCCCAGCCAACAGGCACCCACCCACTGCAGCTTCTGGACACCAAGCCCTCCCCGAGGGCTCTCATCTCAGCATCTCCGCGGGCACAGATACCCCAGACGGCTGGGAGAACCCAGAGGGCTGGGAGAACCCAGTTCCGTGACTCATCATTTCCTCTCCCCACTTCCAGGAAGTCCTCTACCAACCTGGAGACGTTGAATCAGCAGGTCCCAAAGGCCAGGCCATGTAAACCCAGGGGTCTGCCCTCCTCAAAATGGGGGGGTGGGGTGGGGTGTGTGCCATTCTTGGGCAGAGAGCAAAGATCAGAAGAAAAGGAGTCTGCTCCTTTTTTAACTGGCCCCCTTCTGTGCAGCCTAGAGGGGTTGGGGGGTGAATGGAGGGAAAGCCCAGACAGGAGGAAATGGAATGGAAAGTCCTTGGAGGTGGTAGGGTTTAGCAGGAACATATAAAAGGGAAGCTGCCAGGGCCCGGCTGAACTGGGCGGGGATGGGAGGCTGAGAAAAGAACCTCGTTAAGACAGGGTGACACGTAGCCTGGGGAGCACTGGGGCTGGGAAATGGGGCCTGTGGAGGTCACCCAGATCTCCTCAGGTCCCCCAGGGGCTCCTTACACAAGGGAACCAAGCCCTCTGACCCTGGATCAAACCTTGACCCAGAACCACCATCCTGAGGCCCTTAACAGCCCCCAAATCCCCTTCCAAGCGCCCTCCCCCCCCCACACTCATCCTCTGTCCTCACAGCAGACCCTCTTATGTCCCCTCCCTGCCCCCAAACTCCCCAAGCATAAGACTTCTTGGCCTCTCACCCTCTTTAGGGTACCCACTCATGTCCCCAGGCGCCCACATTAGAAGCCTCCTTCCCCAAGGCTCTGTCCTCACGCGCTGGACTCTGACAAAGGGCCACCATCACCATCCCTCACCATCCGATCCGGTCTCTCTCAGGCCCTGGGGATGCCCTCCCGCCCTCCCTAACACGTGTCCCCTCCCCACGTGGCTGAGGCACCCCCTTTCCTCCCGCCAACCACCATCCCAGACTCCACCGGGCGGGGAGGGGGCTCTGACCTCACGAGATCCAGGAACGAATCGAGGACTTCCTTGCCGGGGGCCTCTTCCACGCCGCCCGTGGCGGCGGCGGAGGCGTTGATGGCGGCGCCGGCGGCGCCGGGCTGTATGGCCAGCGCCAAGACCACGCCGAGCGCAGACGCCAGCAGCGTGGTGACCAGGAAAAAGAGCAGCGCCCAGGCGCCCAGGCGGCCGAGCGCGCTCGAGTCCAGGCTGGCGGCGCCCCCGATCAGGCTACACACCACCAGCGGCAAGATGATCATCTTCAGCAGGCGCAGCAGCAGCTCCCCGGGGAAGGCGAAGGCTGCCAGGCGCGCGGGACCCAGAGCGAGCGCACCGCCGGCCCCCGACACCCCCATACCCAGCGCCACGCCGGCCACCACGGCCACCACCGTCAGCAGCACCAGCAGGTTGGCGCGAAGGCAGCGGCGCACCCGGTCCCGGGAGCCGCAGCGGCCGCCTGGGGTCGCGCCAGGGTCCTCCAGGGGGGCCAACGTCGGGGCACCGTTCGCGGTGGGCTCAGCCGCGGCGAGCCCCTTGGGGTCTCCCCGGGGCGGATCGGCCACCATGATGAGCGCCCCGGGGCTCCTGAGCGCCTGGAAGCGGGGCGCGCGGACGTGCGTTCCTTAGAAACGAGAGTTTTGTAACAGCCTGGAGCCTGGAACTTTGGAGGGTTCCCGGGAGCCGGGAGTTCACGGCGCCTTGGTTCCTGGAGAGTCTGAGATCCCAGCTCTTCCAGATTGCGCCCGGCGCCCGGAATCTGGAGCCCCTGGGTTCCTCGGCCCTAGGGATGGGAAAGCAGGAGTTTATCAGGCTGGGACCTGGGGTCCTCGGCTCTGAGGGCTCAAGGCGTGCAAGCGGCAGGGGTCCTCAGGAAGCCAGGTCCTGGTAGCGCAGATCCGGGGGGTGAGAGATCTTGGGGTGCCGGGATCCTGGAAACGGAGGCTGGGGAGGCTGAGTCGGGGGGGGGGCGGGAGACGGAGCTCCGGGAAGAGGAGAGCCGGGCTCTTGAGTCCGGAAGAGGGGGGAGATCCAGGCCCCCGGGCGCGCGCGGAAGGCGGCGACTGGGGACCCCGGGATGGATGTAACAGCCGCGGGCCCGGGGAGAAGCTCGCGGGCGCGCCGCGTGGCTCTGAGCCCGCCTCGCGGAAGCTGCCGGGATTAAGGGCAGGGGCGAGGCTTGAGAAGGCGGGGAGCGGACCACGGGCGCCCATTGGCGGAGGCGCGCCCGGAGCCCTCCCGCGAGCGAGAGGTGGGGCTGAGGCCAGAGCCCTGCCCGGTCACCGTAGAAGGCGGACTCGCAGTCGGCTACCGCGGGAGCCCCCGCCGCCGGGGGCGGGGGCGGGGCCCGCTGGGGGCGGGGCGTTGACGGGACGCGCTTTTTTTTCCTTCCCGCCGAAGGAATCCGGACGTGAGTGGGAGCCGGTAACCCGCGGCGGTCCTTGACCGCGAGGGTCTCGAGAGTGCGAGGGAGCCGCAGGTGGCTCCCCCCGCCTGCAGCGCCTCCGCCCGGAGTTTGGTCTTTTGCCGCCTCTCGAAACTCACGTAAAATGCAGATTGTTAAAGCCCATCCCACACATGGTTGGTGTAAGATTTAAATGAGATGGAGCTATTTATTTAATGGTGTTAATAATTTAAAAACTAAATGTTCCCGGGGCGCCTGGCTGGCTCAGTGGGTGGAGAGCGCGACTCTTGATCTCCGGGCTGTAGGTTGGAGCCAGACGGTGGGTGTAGAGGTTACTTAAAAATAAGATCTTTAAAAAAGGGCAGCCAAGGTGGCTCAGCGGTTTGGCGCCGCCTTCGGCCCAGGGCGTGATCCTGGAGACCCGGGATCGAGAGTCCCACGTCGGGCTCCCTGCGTGGAGCCTGCTTCTCCCCCTGCCTCTGTCTCTGCCTCTGTGTGTGTGTGTGTGTGTGTATCTGTCATGAGTAAATAAATAAATCTTTAAAAAAAAATTTTTAGGGTTGCATGTGTGGCTCAGTCGGTTAAGGATCTGCCTTGGGCTCAGGTCATGATCCCAGGGTCCTGGGACTGAGCCCAGTGTGGGGGAGGGGGAAAAAATCCCTGCTCAGCGGGTGGTCTGCTCTTCCCTTTCCCTCCGCCCCTCCCCCATGCTCATGCTCACTCATGCTCTCTCTCAAATAAATAATTCTGAAAAGATTTTATTTACTTATTTGACACAGAGAGCCCAAGAAAGCGGAGCAGCAGGCAGAGGGAGACAGACGAGCAGACTCCTCGCTGAGCAAGGAGCTGGATGCAGGGCTCAATCCCAGGACCCTGGAATCATGATCTGAGCCAAAGGCAGACATTTAACCCACTGAGCCACCCAGAAGACCCTCAAATAAATAAAATCTTTTAAAAAAAATTTTTAATAAATTTTCACTGTCCAGAACCCAACACTTATCAATAACGGCTGGTTTTTTTCTTTTAAAGATTTTTATTTATTTATTCTTGAGAGACACAGAGAGAGAGGCAGAGACACAGGCAAAGGGAGAAGCAAGGCTCCCTGTGGGGAGCCCGATGCGGGGACTCGATCCTAGGATCCCAGGATCACAACCTGAACCAAAGGCAGATGCTCAACTACTGAGCCATCCAGGTACCCCAAAAACAGCTGTTCTTAGGGACCCCTGGTTGGCTCAGTGGTTGAGTGTCTGCCTTCAGCTCAGGGGGCTCAGGGTGTGATCTCAGGGTCCAGGATAGAGTCCCGCATGGGGCTCCTTGCTGGAAGCTGGCTTCTCCTTCTGCCTATGTTTCTGCCTCTCTCTCTCTCTCTCTCTCTCTCTCATGAATAAATAAATAAAATCTTTTTAAAAATAATAATAATGGCTGTTCTTAGGATTGTAATCCACTTACCCTGGTATGTAACTCACCATTCGCCCATTAAAAATTAGAATTCAATCTAACAACTGTGCTAGTGATTTTTTTTTTTTAAGACTTTACCCTTCCATTCATGAGAGACAGAGAGAGAGGCAGAGACACAGGCAGAGGGAGAAGCAGGCTTTCCTCAGGAGCCTGATGTGGGACTCGATCCCTGACCCTGGGATCAAGCCCTGAGCCAAAGGCAGACGCCAAGCCACCTAGGTGTCCCTGTGCTAATAATTTTAGAAATGTTTTCACTAAATACTTACCCATACGTATTTTTTAAGTAGGATCCACGACTCTGAGATCAAGACCTGAGCTAAGATCAAGAGCCAGTAGCTTAACCAACTAAGCCATCTAGGCACCCCGTTTTTTTTCCTCTTTTAAGGTAAAATGTACCTACGATGAAATGCATAGATTGCAAGTCCCATTCACTGATTTTTGACAAATGTATAGGCCTGATTTCACTGGAATCCTCCTAACTGCTTGGTGAGGTAGGTCTCACTATTATACCCATTCTTCAGATGCACAAACTTGGGGCTTACCGCCAAAGGAAGTCATTCACCTTAAGGCTACACCTGGGAAGGCTGGGAGTTGCATGCCTGCCTCCCAAGTTCCTAACCCTACCCATTGGGTTGCCTCCCAGAATTTCTTATTGGAGTTGTTTCCAGTGAATCCATCACGATTCCCTACTCCTCACAGCAGTGTTGAAATCCTAATTCCTTGGGGCGCCTGGGTGGCGCAGTTGGTTGAGCAACTGACTCTTGGTTTCCACTCAGGTCACGATCTCGGGGTTGTAAGATCGAGTGCTGAGTTGGGCTCTGCACTCAGTACAGAGTCTGATTGAGATTCTCTTTTCCTCTGGCCCTCCTGCTCGTGTTCATGCTCTCTCTCTCTCTCTCTCTCTCAAATAAATAAATCTTCAAAAAGGAAAAAAAAAAAGGAAATCCTAATTCCTTCCCCAGTTGTCGTGTTCTCTGAGGACATTTCAGGCATTCACATTTGCTCAAAGACTGTGATAAGCTCAGAAACTTTCTTGTGAGGCAGCTGTGAGGCTCCAGGCAAGTCACAACATCTGCGAGTCTCAGTCTCTACAACTATAAAATGGAAGAAGAATAGATCACACCTCCTTGGGTGCCATGAGGATCAAATGTGATCACATGTTTAAAGCATTTAGACAGGATGCAGATTAGCCCTTTAAAAAGTTAACTGGAGCTATTCCTATAATTGCTATTTTTATTATTGAAGAACATGGTTTGGGCTTGGACCAGGTGTGGGTGCTGCTGGACCCCAGTAGTGAGCTCTCCCTCCTGGTCACTGCCAGCCCTAGGCCCAGACTCACTTGGGAAGGAGCTTTGGGAACTTCCAATGACATCCTGCAGGATCTCAGGCATCGGTGCCAGGAGAGCCCAGATCTGCCCAGGCTCTGAAGTCGTGTCATCCAGGCACCTGTCCACCTGTGTAGACCTCCTTTCTGTGTCTCTCAACAATCTCCCCTCGTATATCCTCCCATCCTCAGCTACTTCCGAAAGCTCCCACCCCCATCTCACCCTTGTAGGCTGAAGTCGTATTCATTTAACAAACTCCTGCTCAGCTCCTGTGTGCTTGGCTGTGTGCTAGAGTGTGGGCACTAAAGCTACAGGAGCATGGGTTCGAATTCTGACTCCACCACTTACCAGCTGCGTATTGGGGTTCTCACTTGTCTTGGAGCCCATGTGAGCATAAATTTGAGTGTGCACACAGTGACCCTTGATTCAAAACATTTCCTGATGGGCAGCCCCAGTGGCCCAGTGGTTTAGCACCGCCTTTGGCCCAGGGTGTGATCCTGGAGACCCGGGATCGAGTGCCGCGTCAGGCTCCCTGCATGGAGCCTGCTTCTCCCTCTGCCTGTGTCTCTACCTCACTCTCTCTCTCTCTCTCTCTCTCTCTCTCTCTGTCATGAATAAATAAATAAAATCTTTAAAAACATTTCCTGAGCCCTTACTAAGGGCCAAGTGCTGTTCAAGTGTGGGGATTTGACAGTGAGAAAAAGAGAGGAAGGAAGGAAGGAAGGAAGGAAGGAAGGAAGGAAGGAAGGAAGGAAGGAAGGAAAAAGAAAGACACAACTCCTTGCAAACATTCTAGTGAGGGGAGACAGGAAAATAATCCTGGCCTACCAGAGGGTAGATTCTAGAGAAAACTGAAGCATTGTATGGCAGAGAGGTGGAGTGGTCAGGACTGGCCACTCTGAGGTGGTGACATTTGCAATGGGACCTGAATGACAAGAAAGAGCCTTCAATCGGGAAAGAAATCTAGAGAAAAGGAAGAACAGGTGCAAAGCCCTGAGGTGGCAGGAGGAGTGGCTTCCACTCTGTTTGAAGTGCTATCAGACCTTATCTTAGCTCCACTAATCCTCAAGACCTCCTGGCTCTAGTTTTACTGATTGGGAAGCGGCTGGGGTATTGAGACTTCTTGTGGCCCAAACCCCCTACCTGGGCAGGGAATTTGAACTCAGGTGTCTCCGACCCCAGCCTGTGCCCTCAACCCCTATGGGATACCATGACTACCCTTGCAGTTGGCTCCTCCCCAAGCAGAGGCATGTCTTTCAAGTTGGCCCCCCATCTATCCTGAGCACAATGGTTGGCCCTGTGATGAATGGTGCCAGGAACCAATACCTTCCTGGCCCTGTCCTCTGGGGATTCACAGGACAATGGGGTAGAGACCACCCATCCCCAAAAGGTGATGACACAGAGTGAGCAGTGCAGAGGTGGGGAGCCCAGAATGGATGCTTGACCCAACCTGGAGGTCAGGGAGGGCTTCCTGGGGGAGGGGACATCCCAGCCGGGTAGCAAAGGGTTGGACCAAGCCCAAGGAGACACTATTCCAGGCAAAGGGACCCATACATGCAAAGCCTCGGAGTTGAAAAGAGCCTAGAATGTCCTCAAGCATGGATGTAACCTGGTCACCCCACCCTCTGAGTGGCCGCAGTGGCTTCCCTTGGGATAAAGTCCAAATTCTTCAGCTGGAACATCTATCTATCCAGTAACTCCTTGATTTAGTCAGTCGACAAACACATCCACAGAACGGAATACAGACGTCAAACAGAATGAGGCGGATGAGGAACTGGGTGGAGCGCCAGTTTCAGTAATAAATCAAGTGTCAAGAAAGACCATTAAGGAGAAAACACAAGACGTGGGAGAAGGTGTATAAGACAGGGCATACATCCTCTATGGGGTAAAGCAAATATTGAACAGCCTCTGTCTCAAATGTATTGATTATCTCTGCAAAAATCCACACGAGAGCACTCCTCCTTCCCTCTCTCCTCTCTCTCTCTCTCTCTCTCTCAAATAAATAAATAAATAAATAAAATCTTAAAAAAAAGAAAAGAGAAGAAAAGAATCCACAGAAGGTGCTCAAAGTGGTTGCTTTCAGAAACAAAAGCGTGGCTTTGTGGCTCCAGTGTGAGCCCCGTGGTTTGTTCAGCTTCAAAATGGAAATGGTATCTGGCCTCCGAGATCATGGAGGGATGAACCAAGTTCATGTGCACAAAGTGCTTTGGTTCATAGCTGACAAATGACAGCCTCCTGGCATCTTAAGCTGTGGTGACTTCCTGAGATCAATGTGTTATCTAAAGTGAAAGCAAAAAAAAGGCTTCAGGGCTCCTGGGTAGCTCAGTGGTTGAGCGTTTCTCTGCCTTCAGCTCAGGTGATCCCAGGGTCCTGGAATAGAGTCCCCCATTGGGGTCCCCACGGGGAGCCTGCTTCTCCCTCTGCCTGTGTCTCTGCCTCTCTGTGTCTCTCATGAATAAATAAATAAAATATTTTTTTAAAGGCTTTTTCTGTACTTTCCCCTCAGATACAGACTCACGGGCTGGTGCTCCCACCTCCCCACCTGCCTCCCCTGAAGTGTTCATGCCTTGAGACCACTGGGCGAAGGGAGACTGAGAGGCAGCGGGTGCAACCCTGGCAGCTGGGTTTCAGGTGCTGTGGCAGCAGGTGGCCAGGCTGGGGGCAGGGAAGCTTCTGGCAGCCCTCCCAAGAATCCGGGCCCTCGGTATAGAGAAGTGGCCCAGGCTCATTGGGCCGCAGGGGCCTCTGCCACCAGCCTTCACCTAGTTGCTGCTCTCGCATTTCAGGGGGGGGGGGGGGGGGTTGCCAGATGGGGAGGCAAGATGGAGGGAGGAGTCTCCAGGCCTCAGGGGAGCTGGGATCCCAGAACTTTCGGGAAGTGTGGTGTGAGTCTGGGCCAAGAGGGGAAGGTTTCAGGGTTTGGTCCAGGATTGGCCAGGAGTGTCCCACCCCCTTCCCTCCTCTGGCTTAGAGAGGCAAGTATACCAACTAGTCTCAGCCAGCCTGCCTTCTGGGGAGCCAAACCTCCTACCCAGATTCAAATTTCATCGTTAGAGAAGAAAAGGCCTGGGGCTCTGGGAAGGAGGCGACAGGGGCCAGGAGGAGGCTGGCTGAGCAGCGTGGAATGTGGACAGCACAGAGCAGGGAGGACTTTGGTGGCCTCAGTCTGCCATCTATGAAATGGGTATTGTTTGGAATGGTGTCCTCCGTGGGAGGACTGGGTATCAGACAGCAGGTGGGACTGAGTTAACTTCAGGGTGTCAGCCTTCTGCATCAGACCTGTGATCAGAGTTCTCGGAGGACGCAGCCTCTGCTCCTCCCTCAGATTTACATTTGTAGGCTCAGCAAACTTCTTCTGAGCACCTACTGTGTGCCTGGCCCTGTACTGAGTGGCACTGGGGTCCCAGCAATGACTGGGACAGGCCTCACTCCTGCCCTCCTGGGCTCCTAGTCCAATGGGCGAGGCAGACAATGACGACCCCAAGAGAGAAGTCCCGGGACACAGGGGCCCAGGACAGAAGTCCAGTCTGGGAAGTGAGTTCAGGGAGGGTTTCCTGGAGGAGGGGCCTCTGAGCTGAATTTTGAAAGATGTCAGAGCAAACCAGCAAAGGAAAGAGGGAGCCCGCATAGGCATAGGCAGAGGACACAGGAAGGGCAAAGGCCTGGAGGTGGGAATTTATGAAACCAAGAACAGTCCCATTGGTTAGAGTGGAAAATTCAAGGAAGAAAGTGCCAAGAAATGACGTGGAGGGGCACATGGCTGGCTCAGTTGGTCATGAGACTCTCGGTCTTGGGGTCCTGAGTTCGAGTCCCAAGTTGGGTGTAGTGATTAGTTAAAAATAAAATATCCAGGGGTGCCTGGGTGATTGGGTAAGCACCCAACTCTTGATCTCAGGGTCATGAGTTCAAGCCCCCACACTTGGGAGGCCCAGGCTGGGGTGTCCATGCCCAGCATGGAGCCTACTTACAAAGAAATTAAAAAAAAAAAAAGAATAAAATAAAATCTTCAGAAAAAAACACAGCTTTCATTAAAATCATGCATTTAACAGGGTTTACCCCAAGCTGGGTCCTGCCACAGTCACTGTGGTGGCCAAAGGGTCTCTGTCCTGTCTTATCAGAGGTAACTTGATAAGACTCAAGTTCATCACATGCTTCCTTTGCATGTTAACATACAGATTCCTGGGCTCTAAGGCAAACAGGGAAGGAAGTAAAATCCTACCACATCCCCCAGAAGGAGAGGGCAACAGGAACATCAGTGACCAGCCAGCCCTGAAGATGATCATATTTGCTGCTTCTAGAATTCTACTCCTCCGGATGCCTGGGTGGCTCAGCAGTTGAGTGCCTGCCTTCAACCCAGAGCGCGATCCTGGGGTCCCGGGATTGAGTCCCACGTCAGGCTTCTGCAGAGAGCCTGCCTCTCCCCCCCGCCTGTGTCTCTGACTCTCTCTCTCTCTCTCTCTCTCTCTCTCTCTCTGTCTCTCATGAATAAATAAATAAAATCTTAAAAAAAAAAAGAATTCCATTCCTCTCATGGGAGTGCACGGCTTCTTCGCAGTCTATACATCTATATTTTCAAACCTCAGGTGTCAACCTATTAGTAAGGTATAAAATAGGGAGTCTCAAGCAGTTAATCAAGGAATATTAAATAAGAGCAGGGGTGCCTGGGTAGCTCAGTTGGTTAAGTGTCTGCCTTGGGCTCAAACCATGATCCTGGGGTCCTGGGATCAAGCTCCACACCAGGCTCCCTGCCACTCCCTCCCCCTCTGCTACTCTCCCCACTTGTGCTCTCTGGTTCTATCTCTCTGTTAAATAAAACCTTGAAAAAGAAAAATCAGAGCATAGTGTATAAGTAATTATTGTGTAATTATTGTGTCGTGGCATTTTACTTTATCTGTGTGTGCACACCTGTTCATACACATGCTGGGTTGCAAGTAAAATATGCCTTCTGTTGTGCCTCGAGGGTGTTAAATTCGAAACATTTTGAAAAACCCTGGTCTGCAGAGCCCTACCCAGTCTGCTCCTTCCTGACCTCCGTGGTCTTTCCCCATCTTTTCCTTTTTTTTTTTTTTTTTTTTTAGATTTTATTTATTTATTCATGAAACACAGAGATAGACAGGCAGAGACACAGGCAGAGAGAGAAGCAGGCTCCCTGCAGGGAGCCCAATGCGGGACTCGATCCCAGGACCCTGGGATGATGACCTAAGCCAAAAGCAGATGCTCAATCACTGAGCCACCCAGGTGTCCCGTCCCACCATCTTTTTCTCACAGGACCTTCTCTTTGTTTAACCTAGATTTTCAGATTTCGATTCAGGGATCCCCTGAGTCTTCCAGACCCCCAGGCTGGGTCAGGTGTCCCTCCAAGCTCCTTCAGCTCCTGCCCACTTGGATGGTCATTGCCTAGGGATGGGTGTGTCCGCTCCACCTGGCTGGAGGTGGGGGGCCATCCTGAGTACATCTGAGTCCCCACCATCACCCTGTGGGGGAGGGGGCACAGTAGGGACTCTGGGAATGTGGGTTGACTCCTTCCAGAACAGAAAAGAAAGGAGGAGGTGGGACACTTGGGTACATCAGAACCAAGAGACTCGGGGCTTTAGACATTCAGGCCTGGCTGGGAAGCTGCACCCTGAGACTGGCCCAGACCTTCCCTTCCTACCTTTCTAATTATTTATTTAAGAGCTGGCTTGTCGGGGCTGCTCTGTCCCGCCTCCCCCAGCTGCAGGCAGTCAGGCTCCTGCCTGCCATTTGTGGGTTTGTGGTACAAGAGTAACTCAGGTTTCTGGGCCTTGAGGCCCCAAGCAGGGGTGTCAGGCTCTGCTCTCCTCACCTCTCCTCAGATGCTGTCAAGATCCTGGGAGCTGTTTCCTGGGGCAGCTGCCCCTGCCACCACCCCAGGCCCTGCGCCCGAGAACCCACGGGCTGCCTCAGGGCCTGGGTGGCCTGGATGGAAAGACATTTGATGCTCCCAGGGAGTCAGAATAGAATAATGGTCAAGGGAAGGTGGGAAGGAGAGAGATGGCCCTTTCTCTTCTTAGCTGACTTTTTATCCCAGAGGTGGCAGGACAATTAAATAAGTCTGCATGACCGAAGCTCCTGCAAGGCACAGGCCTTGGTGATGTAATAGGAGATGAGTTGGGGCACCTGAGTGGCCCAGTAGCTTAGAAGGCTCAGGTCTTGACCCAAGCATCTGGCCATCCAGTCCCAGCCCCATGACCAGATCCCTGCTCAGTGGGGAGGCTGCTCCTCCCTCTCCCTCTGCTCCTCCCCACTACTCATGCTCTCTCGCACTCTCTCTCAAATAAACTAATAAAATCTTTCAAAAGGGGGGCTGGGACACCTGGATGGCTCAGTGGTTGAGCATCTGCCTTCGGCTCAGGGTGTGATCCTGGGGTCCTCGGATCAAGTCCCACATCAGGCTCCCTGCATGGAGCCTGCTTCTCCCTCTGCCTGTGTCTCTCACGAATAAATAAAAATCCTTAAAAAAAAAAAAAAAAAAGTGGGGGAGGGGCACCTGAGGGGCTCAGTTGGTTAAGTATCTGCTTTCAGCTCAGGGTCCTGGGACCAAGCCCGCATGGGGATCCCAGCTCAGTGGGGAGTCTGCTTCTCCCCCTGCCTCCCCCCCCTCCCCCCAGCTCATGCTCTCTCTCACTCACTCTCAAATAAATAAATAAAATCTTTAAAAAGAAAAGGATGAGGCTATGGGGTGAGGGGGAGGTTCTATTGTGCTTATTAGCTTTTCCCTTTAGAGAGCCCTGGTCGGGTAAGCCAAGCCATCCATACCCTGTGGTGTGCAAGTGGGTGAGGGGTGGGTATCTGGAGGGACACAGCCTTGTCAGGAGCCAGTTCTGAGTAAATGATCACACTGCCTGTTCAGGGTGACTCTGTGAGCGTCAACTCTGGAGGCAGCCAGCCTGAAGGACCAGGACATTGTGAGTCTGGAGAAACTGCCACCCCAGGGCACCTGAGGCTAGGGGAGCCCTTGAGTAAGGAGTCATTCCCCCCGCCCCCCTCTGCAGCCTGCTGGATCCCAGGAGAAAAGTCCGAAGAGCCATTGCTTTGCTTTCTGAGTGGAGTGTGAGGCCAGTGACCTGGCTTTGAGGGGTGTGAGGATTTGCACTTGAGCCTGAGATGAGGGGACATCTGAGTTAATCTGAGTGCTGATTAACAGGCCCTGGCCAAAGTCCCCAGGGAGCTGGGAAGACAGGCAGCAGTTGTGGGGGGGCTGGATGGATGGGGAAAAGGCATTGCCACCTTGAGCTCAAATAATGCTTCAGGATACAACATATGAGGGCACGTCAGGAACTTATGGGTCCAATCCCCTCTTGGTACAGACAAGGAAACTGAGTCACAAATTTCCACGGAAAATTACTGAGTGGGCCAGGGGAGAAGCTGTGAGTGGGGATGGAGATGGAGGTATCAGGCCAGGAAGTGGGGAGGGCACGAAGCATCCAGAACAACAAGAGAAGCCTGAGAAGGACATCAAGACACATTCTACCCAAATTTTTCCCCCAAAGTGTGATTTTTAAAAAAAATTATGTTTGAGGTGAAATTGACATAACATGAAGATGAATCATTATTTCCTTTTTTTTTTTTTAAAGATTTTTAAATTTACTCATGAGAGACACAGAGAGGCAGAGACATAGGCAGAGGGAGAAGCAGGCTCCCTGTGGAGAGGCTGATCCAGGGGCCCCGGGACCACTACCTGAGCGGAGGGCAGACACTCAACCACTGAGTCACCCAGGCGTCCTGAAGATGAATCATTTCAAAGCATTTTTGAGCGGTGGCATTTTGGACAATGCTGTGCAACCACCACCTCTGTCAAGTTCCAAAACATTTTCATCACCCCCTGCCAAAGGAAACCCTGTGCCCATTAAGCAGTGACTCCCCATCCCTTTGCCTGGGTGCCAGCTGCCACTAACCTGCTTTCTGCCTCTATGGGTTTGCCTCTTCTGGAAAGTTCACATAAATGGAATCCTACAATGTGTGATTGCGAAGGTCCCCCCAAGTTTATATGTTGAAACCTAACCCCCCCCAGGTGGTGCTATTAGAAGGTGGGGCCTTTGGGAGGGTGAGGCAATCACAGGGTGGAGCCCACAGGAATGGGATCAGTGGCCTTATAAAAGAGGCCCTACGAAAACAAAAGCAAACAAACAAAAGAGGCCCCAGAGAGCACCCTCACCCTTTCTGCTGTGAGAGGATACAAGTCTGTGACCAGAATAGGGCCCTCGGCCGACCATGCTGGCATCTTGATCTCCAATATCCAGCCTCCAGAACTGGGAGCAATACATTTCTATGGTTTCCAAGCCACCCTGTCTGTGGTATTTTGTTAAGGCAGCCCGACCAGACTATGACAGTGACCTCTTGCATTTGACTTCTCTCAATTAGCAATCCACCCAGTGTTTCGCTGTAATTATGCCAACTATTGAACACTTACTAGATCCTGGGTGCTGTTTTCAGCGCTGTGCATGTCTTCACCTGTTTGAGCCTCTCCACGAGCCAGCGAGGTCATCCTACCATCACCCTCATTTCATAGTCCAGGAAACAGGTACAGAGAGGTGGCCTGACCTACCCAAGGCCACGCAGCTGGTAAGCGGTAGAGCCAGGATGGTCTTCCTTCTCTTAATTTACATCTCGTTTTATTATATTTTTAGCATCTTCAACCTTACTATTTCTCTACTGGGGCAAAATATACATCAAATGATGTTGGTCGTTTTAATCTTTTTTTTTTTTTTTAAGATTTTATTTAGGGGCACCTGTGTGGCTCATGGTTGAGCATCTGCCTTTGGCTCAGGTTATGATCCTGGAGTCCTGGGATCGAGTGTCGCATCAGGCTCCCCAGAGAGCTCCCCTCTGCCTATGTCTCTGCCTCTCTCTGTGGGTCTCTCATGAATAAATAAATAAAACTGTTTTGTTGTTGTTGTTTTTAAAGATTTTATTTATTTATTCATGAGAGACCCACAGAGAGAGAGAGAGGGCAGAGATAAGCAGGCTCCCTGCAGGGAGCCCGAAGTGGGACTTGATCCCGGGTCTCCAGGATCAGGCCCTGGGCCGAAGGCAGCGCTAAACCACTGAGACACCTGGGCTGCCCAATAAAACCGTTTTATTATTATTATTATTATTATTTATTTATTTATTTTAGAGAGAGAGCCTGGAGGGAGGGGCAGGGGGAGAGGGAGACTCTCAAGCAGATTCCACACTGAGCTTGGAGCCCGAGGCAAGGTTCCATTCCATGACCCTGAGATCACAACCTGAGCCGAATCCAAGAGTCAACACTTAACTAACTGATCCATCCAGGTGCCCCTATTTCGATCATTTTAAAGAATACAATCCGGTGGCACTGAGCACATTCATAGCGTAACCATAGCACTACCTAGTTCCAAACCTGTTTTCATCCTGCCAAAGAACAGAGGCAGGATTTGAATGCAAATTTTCTGCCTCCAGAGCAGGAACAGCTATTCCCACTCTGCCTCTCAACTGAGGAATTTAGCGAGTGGGCAAGGACTTGTCATCTCTTTGGAGT